AATAAATGACATTGGATACAATGACCCTGAAATTTTTTTTCCACATTTCACAGAATAAATGTACCTTAATATTAATCAATCTTTTCATAACAAAAATAGTATTGTATACCTCTATATATACAAAAAGAATAACTTGACATAGGTTATGGTAAATATTTTACAAATATACACTTTCACATAAACACATTTACAACTGCTATATAATTAATCATCTACCCTTCAATAAATTATAATTAAAATGATTTTTATACTTAAAAGTTAAAGAATATTCTTTTACAGAAAATCCAAAAGTATCATTTTTTAAGTGTATTATATTGCGAGTAAAAGGTCATTTAATCAAATGATATATACACTGGAGTCATGCTATTTTAAAACTTACATTAATTTCTATAACAAGTGAGAAAGGAAATGTACATATTTCAAGATTTGTTACATCAGGGGCGTCTACATGATATTTAGCCTGGCTTTCTGCTCTGCGGTCATATAAATGTTTCCTTAAATACTTTTACCATTTTTTATTATATTAATATCACCTTTTTTTTTTTTTTTTTCTTTTTTTATTTTTTAATTTGCACCGGGGCCAAAAACAGTATGTTTTTTTTTTTCGTGTCAAACTATTAAAGGGACTAATTTTAGAAATTTAACAGACAAAATAATATTATAAATTTCGCTTTATTTATATAAATTATTGTTAATCATAAAAGGTGACAATGGAATCCATTCATTCGATAAATAAAAATGTGCAGCTTTCATTCAAAGTGCAACAGCTACATGTACGTTTATTATACAAATGAACCCAAAGATTACAAATTACCCACATTTTGTGAAATAAATAGCCAAAAGTCAGGTGTTGAATTTTTCAACAATAACAAGAACATATTTTCTGATAAACTTTTGCTAGGTATTTACAAAATTGATTAAAATATGAATATTTAAAATAACAAGAACATGCATCTTTACAAGAGATTCGACATTTTAATCGTAACAACAGTAAAGAGAAAGAAGCAAATAAACAACAACAATAACATATATACTTTGTTTCTGTGGCAAATAAAGAGACTAAGCTACTCAATTTTTTCTATGTCACTATGCCGTGTGTGTGGGTGGGGGTGGAGTGTCTAAGAACGCAACTTAAAATAAACTTCTCTCCAGTGAATAAAATAAATAATTACATTTAACAAGACTACAAGCAAGTTTCTTATAATGTAGTGACTTCTTAGCTTTGTGTGCAACTTTTTCATTGATAACAAAAACAGTGTAAGTAATGAATACTGACTTAAATCACTTTTTTGACAATGTAGATGTGTAATAGTGCCATAATTTTTTTTTCTAAAAGACTACCATTTCAAATACGACAACAGTATAAAAATAAAATAACAAGATCTTATTTTTTCCCCCCATCATATACTTTTCTAAAGAGGAGCAAGAATCTTTGTTAAGGTTTTTTTTATTAATTTTTGTATTCAGTTTGTAAAATAAATTAATAAATAGGTGATCTAAATAAAACACTATGATCAGTGCTTGGCAGAGATTGCTTGAAATATTTAAGTAAGATTATTTACAAATGATCTTCAAAAATCAGTCTTATAGGAAAATAAACATACAAGTCTTCCTTAAAAGTTTTAAATTTACTTTCTACCTTATTCCACCACCCCTTATTTTATGTTTTCAGTAATAATTAACATGAAGACAATGCATCTTAAATAAGTTAAATATACACTACAGATCACACATTGTCACCTTAGTGCAGTAACAGGTTAAGTCCTTCTAAATTTAAAAGCAGTTAACCAGTTATTGCACTAAGGTGATGACATGCAACTTCATGAGAACAACAACTGTAGCAGTCTGTCTCTAGATTGTATATTGTTTACAAATCTCAACATTTTCCTTATTAACTCTTAAACAACACAAATAAAATTTACAGAACATTCACAATGACAAAAACACATCTTTTAAATATTTACATTAAATATCACATATAACTTCCCACTTTTTAAATAAAGTGATTTCTAATTCTGGGACAACAGAAAAATCAAGTTTTAAATACTCAATAGCTGTGCAAAAATATATTGCATTGTATGCTGTTGAAAAGAAATTTATATTGTTTTGTTTCTGGTAAAAAATATAATGCCCGAGTAACAAAGACAGGCAAGTTAAGTAACACAGCTTCTGTAAGTCACAAGTTGCTAGGAAATTGTTTGAATTGTTTATACATGGCTCTAAAGGCTGCATTTTATTGGCTTTTTTTACCAAGTGTTATTTTCCTTCTAGTGTCTTGAGGAAAGAAAAGGGAATATCTGCCTACAAAATGACCATTACAATTTGTATCAATTATAATTATGTTTATTATGGACAATGTTGCCTACACATTCCACTACTTTGTCAGTCAATAGATGGACGGTTTGATGGACAGACCGGGGAAAATATGCATCATCCCCAACTAGAGGCACAATAATATTTCAAAATATTAACATTTATTGAATCACAAAATGTAATTAAATGTTTTTTCCAGAAATTTTCCAGGATCACATCAATAGTACTTCCATTCTCTATTCTCCCAGAATTACAAATAAAGAATGGATTTTCGCAGCATTAGATAGCACACAAAGCCATGTTCTCATAAAAAAATTTGAACGAAAAGATACCACACAAAATACAAAGTGATGATATATGTATATTATGATATCATGTCAAATAATATTCACAAATCTCGAACTGTCCTGTCACTAAAATTTTGGGCTTAATTAATCGATTCTTTATGTCAGGATTCTTAATAAATTACTTTATTAAAATATTAATTTTCCATACTAAAGCAATTGCTAAAGTCTGCAGTTGGTAATACTCTCTCAAAGTGTGCCCCTGCATGGACCAATCAACGGTTGTGTAGGTTTTGTGCTGGTTTGATTGGACCTGCTGTTTTTAGTTTCAGAGAAGATGTTATTGAGAGACAGACTCCATGAATGGCAAGTATAAAATATATTTCAATAATGTGAATGTAAAACAACATAAATAGAACATTATGAAACCAATCTTGAAACTAATAAGGCTACTTTCTTATCATAAGCTTCCATGAACAATAGTAGTCAAAACTAAATCAAATAAAAATCAACAGCCATTTTTTTTTTCATTTTACAAATTTAAAAACCAACAAGGAAAAAGTATTAAAGTTTAAGTTATTCCGTTTTGGAAAAGCATTAAAATTTAAAAACCAGAGCTAAAATTTCCCCACAGTTTTTGTTTACACTTCTCCCCAATAAAATAGCTATTATTTTTTCCCTAAATTTAAAAGACCTTACCTTTTTAGTCAAACCCTTTACAACATGTAGGGTTTTTTGTCACCAAAAAGGAAAAATGCGAAAAACCAATAGATCCTGAAAACAAAATAAATTAGAATCAATTAACCAATAATTCTTACCACTATCTTCATGTTTCTCATATAACAATTCATATAAAAATACAATAAATCTACCTTTTATCTGTACCCATACATCATCTTTTACAATGTGTTTTATCTCCCTTAATATCTTATTGATAGTCCATTAATTGTTAATTTGTGTTAACAACTAGAAATGTGTCATCATTGCCACGGATTGCCCCCCGGCATGCAGCCCCAAAATTTCAGATGTATATAATATTTAGTTTTCCAAATTTTTTGCACAAATTATTTTTTCATTTTTTAAGTTCATAAGCCCCTTAAAACTTTTCAATGTTAACACAAACCATTTTCATACAATGTTCAAGGCACTGAAATTATTCGTCGTAAAAACCTTTTGAAAATAGCCATATTTCATATTTGTAGCCAAAATAATGGCTACAATACATTTCAGTGCTGAAACTGAAAGTTCAAAAATTTTTCCAACATTCAAGAAAGATAAGTTTGTCCAAATCAGTGAACACGACCAAATTCAAAACTTAAACTGCTTATTCCTAAGATGTATCTATATTATTTCCAAAGTGAAAGGGACATAACTCTGCCAAAAATGTCAATCAAACCATGACCAAATTCCAACTTTGACCTGCCCATTCCTTTGACATTATCCATTAATGTCAAATTTGAGTGTTGGGTAGATAATGAACAGAAACTGTAAATTTCATATTATTATCAAAGTTGAAAGGGGCATTACTCTGCCAAAAATCATTGAAACCATGACCAAATTCCAACTTGGGCTGGGCATTCCAAAACATATCCATATGTCAAATTTGATAGTTGAATGTGTTTACCGTGGGGAGATATAAACAGAAACTGAAAATTTTCATATTATTTTTCAAAGTGAAAGGGGCAAACTTTGCCAAAAATCGTTGAACCATGACCAACTTTGAACTTTGGGACCTGCGCATTTCCTGTGACATATCCATATGTCAAATTTTTGAGTTGGGAATGTGTTGTACCTTTGGGGAGATAAATGAACGGAAACTGAAAAATTTCCATATTATTTTCAAAGTTAAAGGGGCATAACTCCTGCCAAAAATCATTCGAAAACCATGACCAAATTTCGAACTTGACCTGTTATTTCTCGATGGTTACATACATCATATGTCAAGTTTGAGTTGAATGTGTTGTACCATTGGGGAGATAATGAACGGAAACTGAAAATTTCACATTATTTTAAAGTAAAAAGGGGCATAACTTGCCAAAAAATCATCGGACCATGATACCAGAACTCGAACTTGACCTGTATTTTCTCAAGACATATCCATATGTTCAAATTTGAGTTGAATGTGTGCAACCGGTTACTAAGATAATCTGAACGGAAACTGCATGATGACGGAATGACAGAATGACGGAAGGACGGAATGACGGAAGGACGGAACAGGGTAACACTATATGCCCCGCCGATTACCATGGCGGGGGCATAAAAATACTAATACAATATTTAGTTGTTTTTTTTTCAATTCAACTTTAATTTTTTCTCTTCCTTTCTGATGGAATGCATTTTTTGTATTTTCAATTCGATTTTCTTTCCTTTACTTCTTTTTCTTTTTTTTTTTTTTGCATGAGGATTAAAATCAGTATATTAGTAAATACTCATGTTTAATGTAGCAATGTTTAAGAACTTACCAGTCAACAAGAAGAACAAGAATACAACTATGAGCATGTAGCCAAAGTAAAGGAATGTACTGGCTCCACCCTGAAGCTCTAGCTTAGATACATAGTAATGGATAGAGTAGATGAAGAAATATACAGCAGTGAAACCACTCGTCAAAAATGATCTCCACCACCAATGATAGTCCTGAAATAAATCAATGAAAACAAATTAATTTATTTTGTTTTGTTTTTTACAGTCACTCTTGTCTGCAAATGTAATCAATTTTACGCAGTTGAGTTTTTTTGTAACTTTGAGAGAACAAAGGTCCTATTTTTGTTGTTGTGAAGATTATATGGCAATTATTGAAGCTTTACTCCCACCTACTTAAATAATTTCAGACTGACTGGGTACCTTAGTAGAACCATCAACCTTATGTTAATTTTAAAATGTTATAGCTGATTGTTATGAATGGGAGATCACCTATACAACGGATACTACATTTTATTTCATGTATAAATCAGCTACTGGAGAGAACCTCAGATCTATGTCGCCAGAAAGTTTCCCTAAATGTTTGATTATATGTTTGAATGTTAAAGACTTTCCATTTCCTTTCATGCATTATTTCAGACACAAATGAACACCTCAGAAGAACCACCAACGTTCTGTAAGCTAGCTGGATAGATTCCTTGCATGAAAGATTCCAAAGCCCTTGTTTGGATTCAAACCCACAATGGTGAGGGGTGACTGGTTTTAGTCACTATCCATAAACACTTGGCCGTAGATGCACTAATATTACTATTTCAAGGCAATAACTGATTCAAGGTAATGACATAGAAAGTCAATTGTCTTAATATTTAACACTGTTTAAGGAACTTTAAAATCTTCAAATATCAACAATGTCTTTGCAAGACTGTAACAATAGACTAAGGTAAATATTTATATAGAGTTATCAGTTAACAAAGGTGAATGAATCAGAATTTGTTATATAATATTGAGGTAAACTTACCTCTGCACACAGATGGAAGTAACATAGTAAGATTGTAGCTTCAGAACATGTAATAATGAGTATAACAAACACTAGGAACAAAAATCCAAACATATAGTAAGTCTGTGCTGACCTGAAATATACCACAATTATCATTTAGTGTGGCTAGAATTTATTTACAACAGAACATGAAGATAAATTAGTATCAAGGTGTGTTCCTAAAATAGGTTATATGGTCCTATATAAACGGTTATATTGTAAACAACCAGTTCTATATGGTCACAAAACCAGTCATATCAAGATTAATCTTCATAAAAATTTATAATACACCAAACTGCCTTTATTGGAGAAAAAAAACGAAATTACTTTATAAAATGACAACCGCAATATATACAGTTTATATAAAGTTCACTTTTAATCAAAGAAAAATAGTGTTACAAATGTGCAGCATTATATAAACTCATTATTCTGTTCCTTGAATGAATTAATGTAAAGTTTGGTGCTCAATGAAACACAGATTATCTCCGACTAGGTTTGAACCTATTTGGAATTTTCACTTTTCAAATGAAAAAAGGCATAATCACTTCAGTATTCATAATTAAGTCTTGACAATAAAGTCACCAAGGACAAAGTTATCAACATGTATAAGTTTAAACATATTTATTTAATGGCTAGATTGCAAAACAAGTTCCTGCAATATAAATTTTTTGAATCCTCCTGGAACCAACCAGTACTGGTGTCATATGAAGAAACATGGTTGTGACCCGATTAGGGCTCCAACCCATAATCTCTGGGTTGAGAGGCAGAGCACCGTAACCACTCGGCCACCACTGTCTAACATGTATTTCATCCTTAAGATAAAAATTCCTTACCAAATACTATTTAAGATGAAGAAAAGTTGAATAAAGATACATCCAAATGGAAGCACTCCTCCCATGACAATTCCAGGCAATGGTTTAGTGTAGATGGTCTGATCAGGTATCTGTCTTGGGATCTGGTTTGTCCTGACTGGATGCTCAATAGGCTGAAAGTATTGTAAGAAATTCATGTTCAATACTTTTAACAGAGCTTTATAAAACTTTTATTTTAATTTAAAAGCTGTGTAAAGCATAATTATTGTAGTTCAACAGTCAAATGGAGAGAACACAAAAATATGATGCACAAGATTTTCAATGAAATAATCAAGAAGCATTCCAGGAGCAGGAAACTTAAAGCTCTCTTTCCTCCTTATTATGTGGATTTATCACTTTGGTCTTTTTAAACTTCCAAAAACCAAATGTGGTATCACTTGTATAAGTATTGCCACCAAGTATCTTAAAACTTAAAACTATAATGTAATTATATCTATTATTAAAATCACATAATACAACTTGTCTAAAGGTTTTAATCATGCAAAATTCTTAAACCAAAGTTATATACAACTAATAAATATAGCACATTCTAAAGTGACCTTTCTAAATAAAAATATGAAGTTTCTATTTTACTATGAGAAATGACAGCTTAAAATAAGTTAGCCCGAGTGAAAGAAGAAACAAAATAATTATTAGTCAATTTCTATATATGTGTAATAACCTCTGAAATACTAACATACATGATTTTATATCAAGGTACTTGTAATTTAAACAGGAAAGGTCATTTTAGAACCGACTATAAACCCATAGTCTATTTGTTGTACACTGATATCTTAGCAATTCTATTCCCACAAGATAGTTTTACATGTCTGATCATTATCCAAAAGTTTTCCTATAAAACAATTTTATTCATCATACTACTTGAACAATATAAAACTTCTCAAATTCTTGAAAACATTAGTGCATGCACATGTATACGATTTAACACACATTTTCAACAGAAAGACCCCCAAACTATGATACAATTAATTATTATATGGACACTAGCAAATAAACACTTCCTACATGTAAAACTACCTTAAAACTACAATATTGGGATATGAATAAATTGTATTATCTGCATGTGTGTCACATCCTAACATCATTCATTTTCAGTTTAAGGTCAACACATATACAATATTAACCCATATTTCATAATACTGACTATGGCTTACCTCCTGAAAATAAATAGGTACTTACGTTAATTTTCTAGCCATAAATTTAATCATATCTTTTACTTCTTTTCACCAAAACAAAATCTACATTATAACTTGAATGTTTTGTTCATCAATTTCATTATTTCTTTTTTTTTTCAGGACAAATATTGCTAATTTCATCTTATTTTCAAAAAGTAAAAAAAAACACATACAGATAATAAGAAAAACGATATCAAAAATACACAATACATTTTTCCCCCCCAAGTCAAAAACAAAGAAGGAAAACATGCCAAAATTGTCTAGGGTACATCAAAATTTATTTAAGTACGAAAAAAAGATCTGTAACATTTTTGCCAACTTTCTTTAAATTTGAATCTAGTTAAAGTCTACTGAAATTCAAAATATCCCATTAAGAGTAATGTAATATTTTGTAGAAAAAAAAACTTCATTCAATAACTTATGTTTTATAAGGTTTATTTTTAACAATACATAAATCCGAGCAATATTTACCCTTTTCTTGAATCCAAAGTAAGCTCCAACAAATGTAAGTGGGACAGAGATTCCAAACCAGAGGGCGAGTAGAGCAAGCAGGGTGGTGAACGGAATAGCAGCGCTAGATCCCTCAATCCACAAAACAAGGTTCAATATGAAAAACAGGGCAAACACTACCCTGAAATCACAAAATTTAGTTGGTTATTAATTTTTACCTTGTAATTTCTTCTGTAATTGACTCATCTTGTGTCCTATATTAACTAATGAAAATACTAACATTAACATGTCAACTGTATAAATTCTGATATAAGGGTAGCTTTTTAAAGGTATTATGTACAAGTGATCATTGCTTCTACCTTTCTTAAGTCTAATTTTCTAACTGAATTATGAAGAATGTTTTCAGCTTATTTAATTTAAATCCCAACTTTCTGAATCTAGTCCATCTTTGTTTCAAATGATGAAATATTTTTTAGATCCAAGTGAGTATATAAAATCACTGGGTTGAAAGTCAAACTCCTGTTGTGTCCCAAAATAAAATTGACAATTATTTAGGCAATAGCTTACCCTGGGCATAAGAAGGCAGTCAGGATAACATTTGACTTCCATTTTTCTCCTCCAAAAGCTGAAAATAACAAAGATATAAATAATTGAGTATAAAACATATCCATTAATTCAATAACACTACAAAACTTACAAACATTCTCAAAACATGTCCAGGTTTAATATCAAGACTGTTTTTTTTTTTAAAAATATGAATTTAAATCCCAATTATGATTCAATTATTGTTTAATTGACAAAAGTTTATTTCTTACAATGAATTCTTGATATATAAAATCTTACTTTTGTACAATCTGGCAGACACATATCCAGCTGGTGTTCCCAGACAGACATATAATACCAAGGCACAAGTCATCAAAGCTCCTCTATTAGCGGGTGACAAAAATCCAAGACATGCAAAAACTGAAACATTTGAAAAAGATGATTTTTATTTTCTTTAGTGATAGAATTTTTGTTGTTTTTTTTTTCATGCAGATTTTAACACATTTCTTAGGTCATATCTAAGCAGTCAATCAGGAAGCATTCTATTTGAAAAGTTTAACTGGTTAAAACACAGATTAAAATTATCAAACATTTTCCGGAAAATTTAATATCAAACAGATCAACATATTTCTGCATAAACCTTAAAAATCTTTTACAAGCCTACTCCCACGTTACGAATCCAAATGAGGAGAGGTAAGAATTCAAATGCAAAGTTATCAAGCCAGGAGATCACATCAAATAGTTTTATCAAAATTAATCTATGTTAACATAATTTCCATTTAATTACAAAACTTACTTAAAGTTATCAAAGTCATGAAGAACATTTGTACACCACAGCCATTGAACACAGCAAGCAACATTCCACGTCGAGGGGGTCTGAAGGCATCACCGTGCACCAACTTCCATCCAAACTCTTCCTGGGCATCCTCCTGTAACCAACACATATGATAAGTTTACATTTTATTTTTTTATTTTTATTCCCCCCCCCCCCCCAGTTTTTTCTTAAGAAGCATAAACACTATGCTTATTTTGTAATGATATTAGCAAAACATGAAATTCTGAGGACAATGACAGCCATGATATACAATATATGAGTATCTCGGATAGCTTTATGTTAACTTCAACAAAAACATTGTAAATAACATCAAAATAAGCCAGTGCAAGAAGCCAGTAATGTGAACAAAGACACTTACTTGAACCTATTTATTTACAGTAACAAAAGGATGATCTTTTTTAGAGTAAACACTCTATACAGATTTAACTATAACTCAGATAAAAGGAATAGAAGTCCCTCAATAGCAAATATACTGATGGTCACTTTGAAGCTATTTTTTCACATATATTCTTCTTTCAATGTATTCTAGCATGATCGATAAATAGCTTACAGATGTGTCAAGAACAGATATACTTACAGAGTTATCAATCTGGTTATATCTAGCAATATCTTTGTGCAATGTCCTCAACATAATCATAGCAACCATACCAGACAGGAACAGCACAATCACTAGGGAGTTCATGATACTGAAACAAATATACATAACACATGGAGATACATAATACATTTCTGTAATAACTAAAGTCTTATTTCCCTTTTTCATTTCTATATTCCCAAATTTATTTCATTCATTTCTATATTCTCAATTTTTTTTCTCTTGTTCATTTCTATATTCTCAAATTTATTTCTCTTGTTCATTTCTATATTCTCAAATTTATTTCTCTTGTACATTTCTAATTCCCAAATTTATTTCTCTTGTTCATTTCTAATGCCCAAATTTATTTCTCTTGTTCATTTCTAATTCCCAAATTTATTTCTTTTGTATATTTCTAATTCCCAAATTTATTTCTCTTTTTCATTTCTAGTTCCCAAATTTATTTCTCTTGTTCATTTCTAATTCCCAAATTTATTTCTCTTGTTCATTTCTAATTCCCAAATTTATTTCTTTTGTATATTTCTAATTCCCAAATTTATTTCTCTTTTTCATTTCTATGTTCCCAAATTTATTTCTCTTGTTCATTTTTATTCCCAAATTTATTTTTGTTCATTTCTAATTCCCATTTTTTTCTTCTTTTTTTTTTTTTATTTCTAAATCCCAAATTTATTTTTCTTGTTCATTTTTATATTCCCAAATAATGAACATGGCATGCCTAGATCAGGAATTCTAAATGGTCAGTTTGCTGACTCAAGTGGCTCTATACTGGAAGTATAGCTTATCACTTTTGTCTGCAGAAGATTAAGGGATGTTATATTAAATGTTACATTAGACTGACTTTTTATAATTTCAAATTCTAGGTCTGATCTCTCACAGATTGATTTATGCCAGTGACTATGGCTGAATAGGGCAGTTAAAGTGTATAACTGTAACCAGGGTTTTCATTTTTATCTGAGGTAACAGATGTGCCAACAAAAACAATTGATTTGGCCAAGGGTCAAGGGCTGAAAATACAACAATTTTTAACAGCACTTCAACCAATGATATGGATCACCAATCTGTTAATAATAAAACCCTAACTGTAACAACAACCTTCATAATCAAAAAACCTTTTATCACATTTGAATTATGGAAGTTAGGCAAATACATGAAGAATCCGACAATTCTTCATTTCTAGTACATTCTGTAAAATATTCAGGTAATTCATTTGTATATGTTATATATACATCTTTATTGCCTCCGAATGTTCGAAGATATACATATTACATAACACAGTCAATGAAAAGAAACAACATTAAGCAAAGAAAAGCATCATAATTATACAAAAAAGAACAATTTCAAAGATGTAAAATTATATATATTACATAAGACAATATTTGAAGAGAAGTGACGTTAATCATATCAGCACATCATATTAGTGCAAGAAGATACAAAACTACATGTAACATCTTACGCTAAAATAGCACATTCAGCTGCATACATACATGTATTTAACATTTATTTGCTTTTACGTGTTTTTTTTTCGTTTTTTAAGTTATCATGTACATAACGTTTGGACCATACAATGAAGAAGACGGAATCTAATAGACATTGAAAGCAAACCTTACATATAGAAAGGTTAAAAATGCATAAAATGTCAGTAGTTCCTTTAGCTTTTGCAAGACATTATTTAACATTTTTTAAACATTGTTAAATGCGAAATCGAAATTTTAACAAATATAAATGAAATAGTGACTTTCTTAACATTCCTTTTACATTTCTTTCTTGTCTATGTAATAAATTCATTCAAATAATTACTTTATTTAAATAATGATAACAAGAACTTTGCACATATGGCCATGAAATCTGGGTACTTATCAGCGGATAATACGTTAATAAGATTGATATTTACATATCCTAATGTGTACGTAATAAATATCTCTGTAGGAATTGCCTGCAAAAATCTACTAAGAGTGCTATTGAACTGATTGTCTAGGCAATCAAAGAATGTTGCCATTTTCTTTAGTTCTTTGTTCACCTCACAGTAAAACATCAGATGGTAGAGTTCATGTGTACATTCATTAAAACACTTTTGACAAATTATAGATTGATCATGCTTAACTTTACAATTAAGTTGCGCAACAAATCGCATTAGAGTCAGTAAGTCTGGTCTTTCTTGTGCTACTCTCCATACATTGGACATAGTCAATTCACTATTAATCTCTCTAAAGTGTTGAAAGTCATTGTTTCTCTGTACGCGTACTTTCCATTGATTTTGCTCGTAATGTAGTATTGTTGATTTAACACACTTTTTCCATTTTACTTTTGCCGGGAATAAACCACTTTCTATAAACTGTTCAATATAATTAGTCAGTTTATACTTGTCCAATAATTTCAAGACATCTGGAATAAAGCCTAATGAGGATATCGTCACTTTTGTTTTAGCATGCATAAGTCTTGTTATGAACACTTTACTAATTATTTCGCTTGATTTTAACCTACACAAAGTACCTAAAAATAGGAGTTTCTGGAGGTCGATGTAGGCCTCGAGTGAGGTGAGACCTTGCATACCCGTTACCATATCAGATCTAGTGAAATGTGGAAAACCCTGCGCATTTTTCAGACATAAATGGAACGTGCATTCGAGTTTTTGTATGTCTGACTGCTTTAGAGGATTCCAAAGTTCGCATGCAAATAATGATCTAGGAAGGATACAGGTTGGAAACAACCTTGCGATAATATGTGGATTTACACCATCACAGCCACTGATTGAGTTTTTCAAAGAGAAATAAGTACTTCTCATGGAATGTCGAACATCGTCGATATCGAAGGGATAGTTACCATTTGATGACTGCACAATGCCGAGATGTGTATAATTGGGTACATCTGATATAATCGAGCTACCATATAAAAGTTTTATTGGCGCCAAAACACGTGATTTCTTTCTATTCATTGTCATAGTAGCACACTTGTCGGGATTATAAGAATACCGCCATTTATTTGCGTATGTTCGACTTATATCTAACAGGATTTGAAGATCAACTCCACTTGTTGAAAGCAAGACAATATCGTCGGCCTGAGTTGGAGCGGAAAGAGGTAGTTCACTCATACGGAAACCGCTTTGTGAGTTTTGTAATTCGTTTAATAGTTCGTTTATAAAAACGATGTAGCAAAATGGTGCACATATACTTCCCTGCCTGGTTCCTTGCATGATATGGAATGTATCAGATAAGTGTCCATTTAGGAAAACCTTGCTGTTTGAGCCGCAAAGGGAGCAATTGATTATACGTAGTAGTTTTCCATGAACGCCCATTTCGTTAAGTTTATATATTAAACCCGATATCCAAACCATGTCAAAAGCAGATTTCGCGTCAAGGAAACATACTTGCAATGGGCTACCACGTTCAATGCAATAATCACGTGACTCTTGTAGAAGAAACGAGACCATTTTACAACTTTTGCCTTTTTGAAACCTGTGTTGCATGTTATTTAATTCAATGTCTAAACAGTCTATTCTATTCAAAATAATCTTTTCAAATACTTTTGACACAACCGGAAATAATGATATTGCTCTGTAGTTTTTAGGGTCTTTAAAGGATTTCCCTTTTCCTTTATGCAAAGTTACAGTGAGACCAGTTTTAAATTTCACAGGTAAGTATTCTCTTTCTATGATCTTATTAAAAAGCTGTAATAATGCGTTGATTAATGTTTCACCGCCATACTTCAAGTGTTCATACGTCACATTATCAATGGAGGCACTTTTGTTGTTAGGAAGAGCATTAATAACTTCAGAAATCTCTCGGAACGTTACCTCGTGAAAGTTTGTGTAATTTATATTTTCAGTATTGTCTGCTGAGTTTGATATACTGTTCGCGACTGAGTTTTCTATTAAATGCTTAAATGCGTTATCAAAACTTGGGTCGTCTGAGTACGAATACAGGCTTGAAAAATATTGACTCCATCCGTTTAGAATACCATCAAGAGTTGTCTCGCTTTTACCATTGAACACTATTTCACAGCCTTTCTTTTTATCCTTAAGAGACTTGTTGGAGTTTAAAACTTTCCAAAAGCCTTGTTGATCGAGTTCATATAACTTATCGATTCTTTCAAATTCTTCGCGTTCAAACTGCCTCGCTGCTTTTCGGAGGCTTTTACGGAACTCACGTTTTGCATTTTTATACTGTTTATAACTTTCGCCTACTCGCGGTTTGCCATGAGTGGTCCAAGAAAAGTGTAGCAGTCGTAACGTTTTATGTAGGTCACGCAGGGTACAGGACCAATAAGGTTTCAGCATTGGCCGAAACAACCGGGTAGAAAGAGTTTGTTCAGCAGCCGAAGCCATTGCTGAGATAATGGTGCCATATGCTTCATCAATGTTTGCAAAGTCAATTTCAGCGCCATCAATGTTTGCTTTTAAAACTGTTCTGTATTGATTGCATTCTTTTGGTTTGGTCCAAATGTATTTTAATTTCAAAAATTCTTCCGACGTTACATTATTATGCGGTGTGAATTCAAGTCTTAGACATACAAACAACGGTAAGTGTCTTGATATATTCAGAGGCGCATCATGTATTACGCGACAGTCTTTCACTGCATTGAATAGTTGCTCGTCGACAAGAAAATGGTCGATTTTTGATGGGTTGGAATCGTTGTACGGTATAAAGGTATAGTTTGGTCCGCTACACTCATTAAGTCTTTAATACATTACAGGAAAACTTAGATTAAGAATGATACAAAGATTTTCTAAGATTACCAGCTTTATGAATTCAATATTCAATACATGAGAAACTGCATGGATAGATTTCAATTTGCTCCACAGTTAACAATCTGTTACCTGTCTGTTATATACAGTACAAAATGTACATCATATTTCACAATTCATTTTACACCCGAGCTAGTTTACATCAATATTTTGCAACACTGAATTTCCTATCTTCTTTTGTTACCTATTGTAACTGTTATTATGCTTATAAATCAATAGTGATCTTTCTTATGTTTCTCAAAAGGTAATAATGAAGTTCATTGATCCATATCAAAATACCTAATATCTAGAATGAATATGATCATTAAAATACATGGAAATAACAACTAAATGTATAACCTCAAATATTGATAGTTGGCTAAACAGACCAATAATATGAGGGTATAGCAGGTTGATTATAATATCATACTCTTAACATTTATTGACTTTAATGAGTTTATTTCTGGTCAAGTTTCAAGGTGCACAAGTAACCTTAATAATACTCCACACATATCATTGTACTATCAATAATGGTTCAATCAAATTTTCACACATAGAATTGTTAAGTTTTTCTTTTTCTATCTAGCAAATAATTAGTAAACATATAGCTTTTTAATTACAGTATTACCTGAACCACTGAATGTTGGTATGTGGCATTGATTCAAGGATATAATCCCATCTTGACGACCATTTTGTGTTTCTATCCTCCTGAAATTACATATAATGAAATTTTATAACAAGAGGGCCATGATGGCCCCGAGGTCGCTCACCTGTATATAGGCCCCTGGAGCGGGGCCAGTTTAAACCCCAGGGCTTTTATTTGAGCAAACTTGGAAGACACCCATTAGAAGATGTTTCATGATGTTAAGTTTTTACTACACACATATAATGAAAAACAATGATCTCCGCCCCCCCCCCCTTTGGCAGGGCCAATTTAAACCCAAGGGCTTTTATTTGGACAAACTTGGTAGACACCAACAAAAAGATGTTTCCTGCTTAATATCTAACCTCTAGCTCATTGGGTTTTTTAAAAGAAGATTTTTTAAGTTTTTACTATACACATATAGTTAAAAACAATGACACCTCTGGGGCGGGGCCAGTTTTAACCCCAGGGCTTTTATTTGAACAAACTTTGTAGACACTTACTAGAAGATGTTTCATGCTTAATATCTAAACTCTAGCTATTTGGGTTTTTTCAAAGAAGATTTTTAAGTTTTTGCCATACACATATAAGGAAAATCAATGACCCCCGGGGCGGGGCCAATTTTGACCCCAGGGCTTTTATTTGAACAAACTTTGTAGACACCCATTAGAACATGTTTCATGCTAAATATCTTAGCTCTAGCTCTTTGGGTTCTTTAAAAGAAGATTTTTTAAGTTTTTACTATATGCATATAGGGAAAATCAATGACCCCCTGGAGCGGGGCCAATTTTGACCCCAGGGCTTTTATTTGAACAAACTTGGTAGACACTCACTAGAAGATGTTTCATGCTTAATATCTAAACTCTAGCTATTTGGGTTTTTTCAAAGAAGATTTTTTAAGTTTTTGCTATACACATATAAGGAAAATCAATGACCCCAGGGGCGGGGCCAATTTTGACCCCAGAGCTTTTATTTGAACAAACTTTGTAGACACCCATTAGAACATGTTTCATGCTAAATATCTTAGCTCTAGCTCTTTGGGTTCTTTAAAAGAAGATTTTTTAAGTTTTTACTATATGCATATAGGGAAAATCAATGACCCCCTGGGGCGGGGCCAATTTTGACCCCAGGGCTTTTATTTGAACAAACTTTGTAGATACTCACTAGAAGATGTTTCATGCTTAATATCTAAACTCTAGCTATATGGGTTTTTCAAAGAAGATTTTTTAAGTTTTTGCTATACACATATAAGGAAAATCAATGACCCCCGGGGCGGGGCCAATTTTGACCCCAGGGCTTTTATTTGAACAAACTTTGTAGACACCATTAGAACATGTTTCATGCTAAATATCTTAGCTCTAGCTCTATGGGTTCTTTAAAAGAAGATTTTTTTAGTTTTTACTATATGCATATAGGGAAAATCAATGACCCCCTGGGCGGGGCCAATTTTGACCCCAGGGCTTTTATTTGAACAAACTTGGTAGACACTCACTAGAAGATGTTTCATGCCAAATATCTAAGCTCTAGCTCTTTGGGTTTTTTAAAAGAAGATATTTAAAGTTTCTTCTTTTGGTTGCCATGGCAACCAGAGTTTTGCATGGAATTAAATTCTTTGAACAATTTTTAAAGGTGACCACCAAAGGAACATTCCTGTGAAGTTTGGATGAAATTGGCTTAGTGGTTTATGAGGTGATGTCATTTAAAAGTTTACAGACGGACGCCGGACGGACGCCGAACGAAATACGATCACAAAAGCTCACCCTGTCACTTTGTGACAGGTGAGCTAATAAATAACAAGAGAAGACCAGGCTTTTTTCCTTCGAGAGCAGCGTCTGTTTATGGGTGTCACACCCCAAAAATATTTAATATCATGCAATTTTCCCTTAACTCTGAATTGATTTCATGTTTTTCGTTCCTGTTATACAAAATACTATATTACTTTCCCCCAAAATTATGGGAAGGGCTGCATCCCCAGCCTATGGAAAAAAGCCCTGTAAGAAGACTTTCACTCTGCCTCTGTATCATATAGAGAATAAGATCTGTCTACATATTTAAACAATTCAACTAATATTTATAGCTGCTGTTAGCTGCTACAAAAAAGTCTAAAATTGAGCACTAGTACCAAATTACAGTAAGAAAAATTTAGACTATAAAATCTGTTGAATAAAATGTTCAGAGATGTTCAAACAATAAAGTTCATTAGAAGTTTATATTAAAGATAAAATATAAAATGTATTATAGAAAATGAAATACAACCAATAGTTTGTAATGGCTAATAAATTCTGTATGTATAACTAGAACTCCGCGAGTTGGATGTGTCGCCTTGGGAACAATGTAGTTTAGGAGAAATGGCCAGGACAAAAATGAAATTAGAAAATCAACAAAGGGCAATAACTCAAAAAATAAGAAATGCAGAGCAGCAGTTTCTGTGCACTGCACTTCAATTCAATAAGATCTATCATCCTATTAAGTTTCAAGTCTAAAGCTTTTGTAATTATTGAGAAATGCCCTGGACAAAAATAAAGTATGAAAATAAACAAAGGGCAATAACTCAAAAAATAAGAAATGCAGAGTACCAGTTCTTGTGCACTGCACTTCTTCTTAATGAGATCTATCATCCTATGAAGTTTCATGTCCATAGATTTTATACTTAAGGAGAAATGGCCCGGACAAAAATAAAGTATGAAAATTAACAAAGGGCAATAACTCAAAAAATAAAAAATGCAGAGTACCACTTCTTGTGCATTGCACTTCTTCTTAATGAGATCTATCATCCTATGAAGTTTCAAGTCCATAGGTTTTATACTTAAGGAAAAATGGTCCGGACAAAAATAAAGTATGAAAATTAACAAAGGGCAATAACTCAAAAAATAAGAAATGCAGAGTACCACTTCTTGTGCACTGCACTTCTTTTTAATGAGATCTATCATCCTATGAAGTTTCAAGTCCATAGCTTTTATACTTTAAGAGAAATGGCCCGGACAAAAATGAAGTATGAAAAATAACAAAGGGCAATAACTCAAAAAATAGGAAGTGCAGAGTACCGGTTCTTATGCACTGCACTTCGGGTCATTATAAGAAGCATGCATACCAAGTTTGAAGTCAATCCAACTTATAATGACTGACTTATGCTCCGGACAAGCTTAAGGGGACGCCGACGCCGACACCGACAACGACGCCGCCGACAAAAGTAACCCCTATATGTCACCTTTTTCAAGGCGACACAAAAAGCAGACAAGCAAAGGCGACTAAAACTGCTATTAAAATCTTTATTTTTTTGTTATTCATATTCAATATGAAAACTACTTTTTATAAAAGTACTGTATGAATTACCTGCCACTTGACAGAGTATGTATATCTGAAAGTACTGTATAAATTACCTGCCACTTGACAGAGTATGTATATCTGACAGATGTTGGCTTCTCTAACTTGCCACCTTTAATTCCCAATGGGTTTTCATTATTACACATTTCTTCACCAGTTGCCTTTTCATCAAATGCCACACTGAAAATAAAAACACAGCATAGTAAAATATTCCCTAGTCTTCTCTTGTCATTATCTGGGTGTCAAGGTACAAACACTTAAAGAAACATGGAGGTATTCTTGCTTCATAGGATGGATGCTTAGGGCTTCCATTAAGTTTCAAACTTTGGAAGCCAGAGGCTGCAAGGTCTCTGATATGAGAAGTCACATTGGTAAAGAAGGAAAAGTATTAGATTTTGGAAGTCACAAGCTTAAATCAATGAGTAAATGACTCCCAAACTTCCATTAATGGAAGCCCTGCTAAGTGGCATTCACTCTGTCATTTTAAGAACAGGTAAAAACCTGCAACAATATAAATACCAGCTACAATCATGTTAACATTTGTAAAACTCAAAAGAAAGCAAATCAGACCAACCTCCTTGGTTCAATCTTTGCAGATATAATTCTTCCACCATTGGGCATTGTTCGGCCCCATTCCTCCGTATCTCCAGGGTGATAAACAATTGTCAGATCCACATGGTTGAAGAAATAATAGGTGTTAGCTTCACTGAACCTGGCCTGTAGAAATAAATTATCACAATTTTTAATGTTGATTATAAATTTACTTTACAATACAACTTAAAAAGAAAACTAACTACTATGGCTGTATTAAGAAATAATAATATAATATAATTATAAAATTTTGCAATAATTTGTATTAAAGGAGATCATTAAACTAAATTATAGTGCCAAATGAAAATTTAATATTCTTATTCATATTTATCACTTCAGCATATTACAAAATACAGTCAAGTATCTTCCACAGAATTAAGCTTATTACCAGAAAACAGTGGGGGTGGGGGATTGAATATGTTGCACAAAAAAAGAAGAGGTTAAACCTAAGTTTTTAGTAGCAACAAATCATTTCTATGATAACTTACACTCATAACACAACTATCTTTCTTCTTGAGTTGCTTAGTAACCAGACATCCAAGTGGGAACCCACGTGAGCAATACTGGTTGCCATCCTCAACCAAGTAACACCAGGTCACAGGCATGTTGTCAATAATCCTGTAATACAGTAGAATGTTAATCAATGAGATGAGAAAGTGATTTTTTTCACATTTTGGGGAAAGATGGTGGGGCACATCAGGGGGGGGGGGAGTGATGTGTAATCAGTAAAGTTTGAAAAAATCTTCACAAACCATTCATTATCATAATAATGAAAACCAAGATAACCCTGTACCTACAGCTTTTATCAAATACATCAGTCCAAAACATTTTTGGGGTTTATCATTATTTTTTAAGAATTTTGTGGGGAAAATTTTCTGTAGTTGAAATACTTTTAAGGGAAATGGGACCCAATTTTGTGTCCATATAGGCCTTAAAAATAATCACAAGGGACTTCTTTCTTTGGTTAACCTGCTGATTTAGTGCAACAAGCTTGTCTTACCTTGAATTTGAAACTTGGTATTGTTTGTTTCATTCTTACCACCCTTTATATCTAAAATGAACTTGACAATCTTTCAATCTGGATTGAACCATTCATCATTTCAGGGAAAATTTCAAAATTACAAAATCAGACTTTAAATGTCATACTTAAACAAACATCACTATATGCAGTGTGTTTCTAGTTCAAACAGCAAAACAACAGATTGGTATAAAAGTAACATGTATCAGTATTATATTGGTAACTTTAAACTCTAGTCTGAAATACAACACTCAGCTTCATGCCCTACACTGTTGTCTTTTCCTATGTAAATATTTTAATTGTTGAGAGTTACTGGAAATCAATATCATACATTAGCTTGACGAATGCTCTCACATAACTCTTTACACCAGCTTGCATATAAAACAGATATATACATTGTATAATGTTAGTAAGAAATCAATATATGTATGATATATCATTTACAAGGAAAAACTTCTCACTTTTGTATATGATTATCAGTAATTTATATCGTACTGAACATGAATTATTAATTATTTCATGCATAAATATCATGTAATTATTTCTGAAGGAATTCATTCATATTATATTTGAACTCATCAAAAACTAAATCATATATGTTATACACTTTAACTTGGTCATTTGGGATTTAAAGACACATTATGTCAATACCAGGCATTACCAATGACACGCTTAATTAAAATGCAACAATGTCTTCTCATAGATCTGATAAAAAAATGGAGATGTAATTCAAGCTTGGATCAATCAATCACTGCCTTCGCCCTGTTTTCCATACTTATGTAAAGAATTGCTTGGAACTTTACAATACACAATTATTTGGTGTTGTTATAACTTATAATAAAAGTAAATGAGAATAATTGATCGATATTACTGGAGTTACAGTACAGCTCGCGCGGAATGTACTTTTTTCCTTTTCCCTCCGCGGAACTTGGGAGGAAAATCGCCGAGAAACTCCATAAAACTCCGCAATTTTCGGAGGTGTCGCGGAGACAGAAATTCGCCGAAAGCGGCGGTATTTTACTTAAAAAACGGTGTATTTCAGTCCTCCGCGATTCTCCGTGACTTTTCTTTTAATTGGTGCAAATAAAATTCATAAAAATGATCAAGATAAAAGAAATTGTTTCTTGTAAATGTATGTTGTAGATCTACTTTCGATTTCAGCAAGGATATTATCTGTTACCTGGCCGGTATTCCGGACCATTGCACACGTGTTTATATTTATACCTATGACATAATAATAGAGATGAGCGTATATTAAAACATGTATATCATATGCATATGTATATTATTTAAAATTGATGAATGCAGACTTGTTCATAATTTTATGAGACACCTATTATGCGTTGTCTTTCAACGAATTTATTTCAAACAATTCATGTTAACAGAAGATCTAAACTTTTGTAAAAGTGATTGTTGTTGTTGTTCTTGTAGTAACTGTGTACGGTTTTAATGTTAGGCCTAATTGTTTTTTGTGTATCATCAAATTCAATACATTTATATACATGTTTATCTTTAGATCCATCGTCTCTTCCCATCATTTTATTTCTAACGAGTCATCTTTGAAAATAGATTGTACACTCGTGTTTGTAATAATAATAATTTCTATATTTGTTTTCATTTCAGGACCTTAGCAGTTTTTATAGTTCAGAAAAAGAAGCGAGTTGTATTCTCCTTAAAAGAGTTCAACTTCACATTCTCTTCCCTTTTCTTTTCCTTAATCTTGTACTTTTGGATTGAGATTATCTACATATTATATGAAGTTCGGTGGAGAAATTTCACGGATTAAGGCTGCGTCGATCTTCGGAAGATATGTACTGTAAGCTTTGAAGACGTCAAAACAGACTTTCTGAATGATAAAACTTAGGATTTGTCGGATGGTCCTTTTCAAAAGGCACAATGTATCCTCATTACAAAAAAAAGAATTATAACAAACAACTTTTGACAAGCATGTGCACATCTGAGCAAAAAGATAAGTATGTGCAAACGGCGCTCAGTCATTGGCGTTGACGTCAAACAACATACTCAAAAAATGTTCACTTACCAAATATATCATCTGTGCAAATGTTGAATATTGAATAAATATGTTCCTCTACTATGAGGAGACTTACTGTTGGATAGTTCTTAATGTCTCCGTATGTGATTACATACCCACCTTCTGTAAAGCGTCATATCCATGTACATGTATGTTTGCCGGCTTTAAAAAAAAAGGGGGGGGGGAGGCAAAGAACAATGATACACAGTATAACATTCATAATATTCTTTGTTCACTTCTTTTATTTGTCAACCTTTGTAGAACAAATATTATTAGTATTAGTTATATACTTCAAGCAAGAAGTTATTTAGATAAGGCACATCGTCTCTGGAAACTCTTGAAATCTTCCATACATGGTCATCTTGCTGGAAAAAAAACGTTAATGATTATAAATGATTGATAGAATAAAAAGTATTTTGAAACCAATATCATTATACACTAAATGAGAAAAAAGAACGTTCAATGAAGTCGGTATAGTTTTTTCACCAGTGTGTATACATTTATATTGAGAAGAGAAACTGTATAAAACACAGATATAACAGATATATTTTATTGTAAATTATTATAGAGAATTGTAAAAGGTGAAGACATTATAATTTTCGCTGTTGACACATAAAATTATCAGTGAGGACGTACTAGTTTTGTTGTACAAATTTGTGGACATTTGAAATAGACATCGTGTACGCGTTGGGAAACGTATAGGTCAAGAACTACATGTATATAAACAGGTAACCAATGTCTTATAAACTCTTAAATCTTAAAGAAAAAGAAACTTTATAATTGTGTTGTTGACCAAATTAAATATGTGAAGTCATGAGCAAAGCATGGAGACCGACGTATTTTAAAAAACATGCATGTAAAATATAAAACAATATAGGTGTAGTATTACATGTACACGTCAAATTTTCAAAACTGTTGATCTTATTTCTTTACAAAATATAAATAGGGTTGTTATAGTTTTTCATGTTGACACATTTACCACAGAGCTATCTGTAATAAAAATCTCTGCATTTATGGGTGATTGAAATAACGGATATATCTACAGTACATGTATATCTAGCTCCGAGGCCTATTTCCAACATATGCCAACATTTCCAATGCGCTTCAAAACATAAAAAAACTTACATACACCTACAGTATCCTTGTCCTAAAAACAGCAACAAAAAATGCCAAATAAAGTATAAAAACAAAATACGATGACGTAGACATGATTCAGCGGTACGGTGTCCAAGAAGATTGTTCACAAGAAATACTACGCTCGATTAATCAAGTGGACCTACAAATTTCAAAACAAAAATAAATAACAATTAAGATAATTACAAATGTAGTTTCTTTAATGAAAAATGAAAATTACTTTAATGAAAAGGGATAATTTTAAAATATAATATCAACTTATAAATCGTGATTTTCTTGGAGAATCTCCGCGGTAATACCTTTACACTCTCTAAAACTCCGCGATTGTGGTCCAGGCTGTTTCTCCGCGATTACGCTCAGAAAAACGCGGTGGATTAAGGAGTTTGCTTAAACGTCGATCGCGGAGGAAGCATAAAAAATGTACATTCCGCGCGAGCTGTACTGTATTTCCATGAGCAAATAGTGTATAGATTAAAGCATAAAATAGCACATTAATAACCAGCTGTGATTTTTTGACACAATGCATTGTTAATAAGGCAACTTTCTAGCTTTACTAGCAGAGGAAGACCTAAGGTGCCCCTTTATGCATTATTTCAGGCACAAACAGGCATCAGAGTTAAACTCACAAAACTAAGCTTATTGAGTGCGTAATGTTTACACAATTTTGTATTATTAATACATTCATCATATTACAGTACTACTTTCCTCAGCAAACTATAACTGATTCAATATTAGATTATTTCTCTATGTTCACATGATCATTAAACCATCATGAACTTACCAATGCTGATTGTAGTTCAGTTCAATACTCTTCCTCATAAAATTCAGTTTAGTCAATGATTCTTTCTTCGTAGGATCATAATCTTTCTGACAGACTTTAGCACATTTCACATCCTGTTTAAACTTCAGCTACAATGTGAACAAAAGAAAGTGTTGACAATTAAATTAAAATATAATGTATGTGTGGATGTTCTCTCAATCAGATGTCAATATTCTTTACTATGAGAGCAATGATGGGTAGATCGCTCAACAAGCCACAATTTTCATCTTTTAATGTTGAAGTCAGTAAGAGTCACTTTTGGTTTTAACATTTTTCATCTCTTTGCATTGTATAGCCATAGAGGATATTTAAGACATTTATTACTATACAAGTTAGTGATGTTTCATATTACATAACAGAGGCCTATAAAAGGCCTATTGGACTACTAAATAATATAAAGCTTTAGAATATGTAATCTTCCCATATATTTACACTTACACCAGCTTTTTTACTTCCTAAACTAGCAACTTTAGTGATAATTCTTCCAAAAATCAATTGGCTAAGGCCTCTTCGTATTTTAGTGAGAAAATCCACTGCAATTCTACACTAAGTATCCCGCAGGGTAGAGCTATTTTTAACCCAAGGGACATAACTTATATTACTATGTTACATATAGGCAATGCAAGGAGCCAAATACTAACCTCTTGCAACTGTAGTTGCACAAAAGTATTTTCCTATAGGTGTCTATGTAAGCCCCCCCCAAACCCTTAGGTCTGGACTGGATTTAACACCAGGAGCATGGTTTATATTCAACTTTTGTAGAGGATCAGTAAATTGAAGCTACATGCCAAATATTTTAGCTCATTGCATTGTAGTTTCTTAAAAGTTTTTTGTAGATTCATTTTTAAGCACCTGTGTTCTCTATGCCTCATACTGAAACCATTTCTATAATTTATGTAGCGGACCCCCTTAGTCATTACTGTGCAGGTTGGTCAATATCCATCAGGAGATGCTGTTAAAAGAAATGTGGATAACAACAGGCTACAGCCAAACTTGCCATCACAAAAGTTCACCTCGGAGCAGTGTTAAAATGACTCCTAGGTAAAAACGATAGTTTTAGCTATTCTTTGAATAGTTGAGCTAAAAAGGTGAGACATATTTTGTACCTTATATGGAGATGGACGGATTCTTTCTCCAAACACAACCTGGCCAAGATTCTCAACTGGGGAATGATCATCTTCAACATCACTACACAAATCAAATCTATAAAAAAGAACAAAACCACATAGTTCACATAAAAGAACAAATCTAATCAAATAAAGTACAAGTAACTTTCTCCCAAATAAAATTTTATGAAAAATTAAGTACAACATAAATAAACAAGAGGGCCATGAAGGCCCTGAAGTCGCTCACCTGTACATAGGCTCCCGGAGCGGGGCCAGTTTAAAGCACGGGGCTTTTATTTGAACAAACTTGGTAGACAACCATTAGAAGATGTTTCATGCTAAACATCTAAGGTCTAGCTCGTTGGGATTTTTAAAAGAAGATTTTTCAATTTTTGCTATAGTTTTACACATATAGGGGAAATGAATGACCTCCGGGGTGGGACCAATTTTGACCCCAGGGCTTTTATTTGAACAAACTTTGTAGACAATCACTAGAAGATGTTTCATGCTTAATATCTAAACTCTAGCTATTTGGTTTTTTCCAAAGAAGATATTTTAAGTTTTTCCTATACACATATAAGGAAATTTGGAAAATCAATGACCCCCAGGGCCGGGCCAATTTTGACCCCAGGGCTCTTATTTGAACAAAATTGGTAGACATCCATTAGAAGATGTTTCATGCTAAATATCTTAGCTCTAGCTCTTTTGGTTCTTTATAAGAAGATTTTTAAGTTTTTACTATATGCATATGGGGAAAATCAATGACCCCCTGGGGCGGGGCCAATTTTGACCCCAGGGCTTTTATTTGAACAAACTTGGTAGACACCCATTAGAAGATGTTTCATGCTAAATATCTTAGCTCTAGCTCTTTGGGTTCTTTAAAAGAAGATTTTTTAAGTTTTTACTATATGTATATATGGAAAATCAATGACCCCCTGGGGTGGGGCCAACTTTGACCCCAGGGCTTTTATTTAAACAAACTTGGTAGACATCCATTAGAAGATGTTTCATGCTAAATATCTTAGCTCTAGCTCTTTTGGTTCTTTAAAAGAAGATTTTTTAAGTTTTTACTATATGCATATAGGGAAAATCAATGACCCCCTGGGGCGGGGCCAATTTTGACCCCAGAGCTTTTATTTGAACAAACTTGGTAGACACTCACCAGAAGATGTTTCATGCCAAAAATCTAAGCTCTAGCTCTTTGGGTTTTTTAGAAGAAGATATTTTAAGTTTTTTCTTTTGGTTGCCATGGCAACCAGAGTTCTGCATGGAATTAAATTCTTTGAACAATTTTTAAAGGTGACCACCAAAGGAACATTCCTGTGAAGTTTGATTGAAATTGGCTTAGTGGTTTATGAGGAGATGTCATTTAAAGTAAAAGTTTACGGACAACGGACAGACGAACGCCGGACGAAAAGCGATCACAAAAGCTCACCCTGTCACTTTGTGACAGGTGAGCTAAAAAGTCTTAGTTTATTATACATATAGTAATTTATTTTAGATTACTTTTGGCACATGAATATTCTTGAGCAGGTTGCCATTAAAATGGTTACATACAATGTAGCAACCTTATAATTTATTTAAGATTTTATTATGAATTAAAAAAAAATATTGACTAACTTGACTATGAAAGGACATTAATCTCTTTAGCTTTTATTTTCTCTATTCTTATATGGCAATTGGGCAAGTAATTTTCTCTATTCTTATATGGGCAAGTAAAAGTTAAGATGCAGACCAATAAAATTTTCTATCAAACCCATCAATAGGCAAGTGGAGAAAATCCAGATTTCTTGGTTTCTCAGATCACTTGACTATCCTGTTTTTAAATTTATCTAGCTAATGGGGAAAAAATTATTTGACAATATCGGCACTATAGAAGGGAGACTAAAATTAGCTTCATCTGTAAAAGATGGAAAAGTCCTGTAGAAGTTACTTACTTATCATACTCATATGGTATCACTGTTTCTAACGAGTTCAATCTGTTCACATACACTGGAACATCAACCTGAAATATTGACATGTATGATCATTGAACAGAAGATGAATTTCTACTAATATTTTCGATTCAGAGTCAACTCGTCCTCTGGTCAACTCGTCCTCTGGTCAACTCGTCACCTTTTTGGTCAACTCGTCCCCTGGACAACTCGTCCTCTAGTCAGCTCGTCCCCAACTCGACCCTTATATTTTATTACTACTTGTTTTTCATATAGTTCATAAATCATTATAGACTATTAAAATAATATATTATAAAATTACTGAATTGGACATATTTTGACGCTTTTTGTATGCGAATATTTGGAGTTTCATCTTATAATAAGGATATATATGCATAATTCTGATTAAATTACATACAGAAAAAAAAACAACACGAAGACGATCAATAGCAATAACATTTAATGTATAAAAACATGTTTTATATGCAAAGATAAAATATCTTAAAGTATGTCTTTTTTGTCAATATTATGTCATACATGTATATATTTACTTTCACTTTCACACTTTCATTTAATTAACACGATCCTTCTATAATGAGATCAATACGCACCGACATAAAGTTTTTAGCGCTTCTAATTTCTGTTAATCTGTCGTCAGTCTTTAATCCATTCAGGGAGGCGGTAAAAATCAAAGAGTTGGACCTAATTTTAGTTTTAATTATCATTAAAACTCCGATTAATTAAACATTAATTGAATGTTTGTAAACTTACCTGTCTTTGTAGTTTGACATCAAAGCTATGCACGTGCGCTTAGATAAAGATCATTAAAATTTAACGTAAAAAGACGTAATTATTTTATTAATATTTCGATATCAATCAAATTCAGTATTAATTTTACATATTTTACATAAAAGAATTATTTAAAGACATTTTAAAGACAGAGATCGAAAGTAGGGGACGAGTTGACCATATTAGGGACGAGTTGACCAAAAGTAGGGGACGAGTTGACCAAAAAGGTGTCGAGTTGACCAGAGGACGAGTTGACCGGATTGCATATTTTCAAGGAAATATGACAGACTTCTATAGGTCATCATTTCCCATGAAATCTGGAATATTTTCACATGTGTGAGATCATGAATTAATTGAACACTTATATAAATCAATTATATTGACTAATCCATGTTAAAATGCACCCATTGCAACCAGTACTGTAAGTTGTACTTTTAGTATATTTACTTTGATGTCACTAAGAACACTGTACAATCAATTAACAAGAGTCAGTGTACTATGTTTTTTTACACTTAACAAAATAAAAATAAGAAAATGATTTTCATAGTAAGTTCAAACTACTTCTTAATGTCACTTTAATACGGAAAAGAGTCAACTCGGCCCTATACCAACTCGGCCCACTTTAAAAAAATATATTTAACGTAGTAATATTAAAAAAAATATCAAACAAAAACATGTTTACTTAATATCATAATTAAGCTTCTAATTAATTGCAGGTGGTCACTAATCAATTTTAAATGAATGCGTCAATCATAATTATCACCTAATTATCACCTAATTAATCGGTATCCTTACGAACACACTGATTGATAATAATAGCCTGTGACAATAAGAGTCCCTTTAATGTCTTTAATCAATTTCATTTAATTTGTTTGTAATTGTCAAAAGCTGAAAATTAAGTCCGTGTATTATACATAATTACAAATATTACAAAAAATAGTGATTACACAAACCTAAATATAAATAATTGAAAAGTGGGCCGAGTTGACCCGTGCCGAGTTGGTATAGGGCCGAGCTGACTCGGGGGCCGAGTACGTTTTAGGGCCGAGCTGACCAGGAATCCTTTAATACATATTATTTTGAAAAATACATACTTTGCCTCTAAAATCTTATTACCAGAACTTTTGTATTTGTAACATTGCAAACTTACCATATCATCAACTAAGCATCATAACTAAGCATATACCTACAGGGTTATTTTCCTTTTAATATTCCGTTAAAGAGTTAAGCAAATATAATTATGATATTCATTTCCTTACAGAAATTGTTAAGATCTACATGGATGATATAAAATAACACAAAATAGTGACAAGATTAGCTAGGTAGTAGGTTAACATTACATACATTTCTCAGACATTGATTAATGTCTTCACAAAACAAATATCATTTTACAATTATAACAACAACTACATGAACAGAAGTATAAATCAAACCTTGCATTCAGCTTTATCTGTTGTGCCACCCTCTTCGCAGTAGGTCACAGGTGCCAAACCAGGTAAATAAAAGGCATTTGCACCTATAACTAAGAAAGACAATACCGCAAAAACAGAAAACATATTGTCAATAAATGACCTGCGTATAGTTTTTCACAAATGCACCTGTGTTTGAAATTCTTTAGCCAAAAATGTTTTTGTAAATCTTCCACGAAGCTACAATGTCCCAACACGTCATCCGGTGTAATACGCATGCGCATTAGGAAATATTTGAGTGAACATTTGCCATATATCCCGTGTCAAAACCGGATACAGAGTTTCGTCCCGTAACTAAACGGTTGTTTCCTTGTGTCATACAACATGTTACAGATTATAAATATTTTTATACCTTAAGTTCATTGTCTGTTTTCCTTCTTGTGTCAAAGTGTTAAGTACCGTGAACTAAGAGGAGCACAGTATAACTTAAAACACTGATCATATGAGATATGTCTTGATATGTTGTATCAATAATTTTTCAGAGCAAGGTCTAAAATGTTTCTCTAAAATATCGGATAATTTTGTAAATTATTGTGATAAAAAAACTTAATAACAATCAGCAATAATATTCGTTGACATATTTAAGTGGTCTAGTGATTTTGGGTCATTGATTTACTTAGAAATGAGACGTATACGTGTATATAGGTATCGCTGTAATGCGGCCATTCTCAATTAAACAAAGCATTTGAGGTTGAAAAATATTAAAAATTTGATGTTGTCATTGTGTCATTTTTTATTGCTGACGTAAAAGTTTAGGGTATATTGCAAGTTTGCCAGAAATATTTTCAACAAGAAACTATAATAAAACAGGATGGCATTTATTTCGGTAATGACACTGTATTTCCTCGGTAACGTAGATTTCAGATCTAAATAAATAATGTAACATATTGGCTGCATACAAATAACACATGTCTGTTAAATATATCAAAATCTGTAAATTTTCTATCTAGAGGGACTTTTTAACCCAGGAAAATTCAAGGAAGTTGGGTACCTTGCTAATTTTCAGTTAGTTTCATTAAAGTTAAATATTCGTAGTTAGCAAAAAGAGTCAATTTTGGAAACGATTATCTTATGTCTTCATTTAAAGGATATATATCATATATAATATATGAGACGTGAAATGCATACACTAATGTTGTATTTAGCTTTTTTTTCAAAACATTGAAGTTTCCACTTTCTTTATATTTGGATAATTTATTGCTAAGCAGTTCTATATTTATCCCCATATCGCATGTCACGTATGTTTCATTTTATTTAAATACAAGTAAAGGTTAAGAAAACAATTTTATTTTTTTTTTAAATAATTGATATTTATGTATATTTTTCAACATTATTATATATAGAATGAAATACAGCCAGTAAGCTCTTTGCAGAAATGAATTAGTTGTTGCTGAGAACTTCAATATCTTGTAACATACTTTTAACATTTCTGCTGGTACATCAACATATTATGAACATATCTTTCCTTTGCAAAAACAGTTTTGTATCTTTTAACATCTAATACAAGGTAACCGTTACTAACATGCATGCTAATCCCAACTTTATCTTTAATTTTCAAAAATTGTTGAATTGTAAGTTGGATTAACGTATGTTTCACACTGGCTTATTTATGAACTTTATCACGGAATTGAAACTTACATGTAAAATCGACTTTTTTTATTTAGGAATCAAATGTACACCATTCTACTGTCATAAAAATGCGATTTTATGTTTTTTATATGTGCATGTGTAAACAGTATAAAGTCTGTTTGATAAAAGTAACGTTTGTTTCTTGTTTGGAGTCTTCTTTGAATGGATCAGCTCTTAAACAATGGTAACGTAAGTTTCTATTTAAAATGCTGTTGAAAAGATTTGAATAAAAAATGAAAATTTCCGAAAATAGAATGATATTTGAGAGGCTGTCAGCTTAATTTTGCTCATGATTATATATATGCTATATTATTAAGCATGCATCGATACTATTATGTAATTTCTATTTCGCTTCTTATTGTTTTAGGTTTGTCACTATTTATTTATATACATTTGGCGACATTTGATCATCCATTATATCAATGAGATTGTAACAGTCAAATATAATTTTTACCAATAATCAAAGTGCATATACATGCAGCAATGACTAATTGCACATGTTTCGTTTATTCTGGAAACACAATTTCAAAGTTGAAAATTCTAGGTGGCGACAGTAACGTATGTTACATTTTAGGGCATTAATGGTACTTGTAAAAGAAAAAAAAACAGATAGAAGTGTAAAACTGAGAGAGTCCCTATTAGACAAAGTGGCAGCCACCTTTCTAACGACATTTTGACCTCAAGAAAAACCTTCGTATAGGAGCTACCCAGTGGAACATCAAATGCTGTGTTTTATTTGGAATGAGCGAATGACATTTAAAGAACATATCTGAATTACTCATATTTGCTTTTCAAAGGTTAAAAAATTGCTCCACTGAGTTTTGTTGTTGTTATTATTATTGTTTTTGTTTGTTTGTTTGTTTGCTTGTTTGTTTGTTTAATACATTTATTTTTTACATGACGCAAGAAACTGCATGAAATTGATTTTTGGAGATGAATGTTCCATTTGATGTACGTCTAGACCAATAACTTATGTGCAAAGTGTCAGATCATTCGCTCACTCCATTTTTCCAGAATAAATATTCTAATTGTAAAAAATGGCCCAAAATTGAAAAGCGTTTAAATGTGTTCACTAAAATCAGGCTAAGATTAACACATTAATTAATACGATTTTCAATTTTTTCCTGAGAACATTTCTTAATTTTCTTTTGGATAATTTTCTGTTTTTTTTTAAGTGTCACAGCTGATCTATGTGAGGAATTAAAATTTTTATATTTTCAGCCCATTTGCCTCAGTGTGTTTCCTTTTATGATAATAACATGTTAGGTGTTTTTTTTATTCTAGACTGGGACACAAACAAAACAACAAACAGACATAGATCTACTCTTATTCAAAATGGTTGGCATCGAGTTAGTGAACAAATAGTGTTTTTTTTGAAAACTAAAGTAACACATTTATTTTGCATTCCTGTTGGCTCAACATATATAATTATGTCTAAGGTCTAAGTGTAGTGAGTTTGAACCTTGCGCGTACCAATTTGCTACATATTACATTCACTTTTTTCATGATTAATACAAAAAAAAACCGAGTTGTGAAAGTACGTATTTTGATAAACAAGTTTAAATTACTTTTGATAATTATAATATTATTTTGACATGTTTGTGCTACCGAACGCAACAATTGATATAGAAACCTTGTTTTTTACTAAAATTTAGAACTTCCAACACAATATAATTGTAAAATGCGCGTCAAGATGCAGTCAATTGGATAAGACACATGGACAGTTTAACTTTTTTACTTTTCTATTGTGAGGTGATTCGTCGTTATGGACAATCGGACAGACGTTTCAATAGTATAAGTAACACAGTATACTAGTAACCATTTCTTAAATAAACACATAGAATACTATCTACACAGAGCTTTATTATAAGCTGTATTATAAGTCTCTGATATCTGGTCATTTGACATTGAAATTATGAAATAAAGTTTCACTGTAGCTGAACTTCATAGGTCGGAAGCATATTCCACCTGGGAACATCATCTGTTACAATGTCTGTTACAATTTCAATAAAATTTCCAAATTAAAAAAAAACTATTTTTGAAATACATGTTTGGTAATTTAAATACGGTAGAAATACCCTTTATTTAATGTCATTGTGTTAGAATATCATCATGTATTATTTACCAATGTGACATTATGTATTTTAGCTATATGTGCATATATGTTACATATTTCATAATTTAATTGACTGCCTAAAGGCAAGTTACACGAGTTCTGTGTAAAACCCTAATCGGTCAGAATCTATAATTACATTTTGTGCATTGAAAAATATTCTGTGTATTATCTTGACAATTGACAAGCGTAGGTACGTGTTGATGTTATAGATAAAAATGACAAAATATAATTTGTTTTGATTAAAATGCTAGCATACTTCATACTTCGTTTTTCTTTACTGCATTTAATGCAAGCTCATCTGCAACCTTAGGTTCATAACATATTTAACTTTCTGTTAAGAAAAAGTCGTTGCATATATATGTATCAATAAAAAAGCAACTTAAAAACATATATAAACATTATAAAATTGTTTAATTGGTACATAGATATTAACTGATAATATTGAAGAATAATAATCTTGTTCAGACGCGCAGTATTTTCAAGGTGAAGGCCGGTAGGCACAAGACTTGAACAATAAACTGAACATTAAGTAATGATTATTAATTCACATCCGAAAAGGAAGAATAATGACTTATTAATGAATTGACCTTATATCGGACGCCATATTGCATGTAAACATGTATTTCTTTATTCAAACGATTACCCCTATAGAAAAAAAGATTCCCTCATAGTATTGAGAAAAACAAGTACAGTCAAGATTTGGTACAAAAATTTTGAAACCCCCAATTCGTTCGTGTATAGAATTTATAATCTAAAAGACGATCACGGTGGCAATATATACTACTCAAAGAGTATTTTTGTACCTATCTTATGTTGTATGTAAAATATTAGATTTATTTCTGTTTTTATATATGATATAGTGATTTATAAACATCATTAACGAATTTGTTACCAATTGTAACGTGTTTTCCTGTTGATTTGTTTTGATTGAAATGAAATTGTGTTTTAGACGGAATTTGTGAAAAACTTATTTTTGCCCCCAAAAATCTTTGCAAATAACTGATTTGCTTTAATAGCGAGTATGTGACCAGGGTTGTCAATGACACATTGGCACCGTCGTTGCATACTCCCCATCTGATTTCTTAGGACGGCTTGTTGGATGGTATTCCACTCGTCGACTAGGGCGCCGCCAATTAAGCTCCTGGGTGCTTCTTGGCTGAAATACGGACCTAGCTCATTCCATACATGCTCAATGGGATTAAAATCCGAGATTGGGCCGGCCAGTCCAAACGAGTAATACCTTGTCTTTCCAAGTACTTTTGGGCGACATTGTTCCGCAATTTTTCCTGTGTGGAACCGTTCCCCTGACTTTCGCCCTACTATAACACGCCTATCTGTGTAGTCCAGGCAGTACATTGACTCGTCGGTGAAGAGAACAGGCCACCAGTCCATCCTTCTCCAACCAACTTGGTCCTTTGGCCAATCATATCGGAGCCGGCAGTGGTCTCTAGACAGCGGGACCCGTATACATGGTCTTCTCGATCGCAGACCACTTTAATGCAAAGGTGTACGTATGGTTTGTGTTGACGCATGCACGCACGCACGCACATACGCACACACGCACACACACACACACACACACACAAGCATTCTGAAGGCCAGAACGAAGTTGGGTTGCACTTGCAAAACGGTTTCTTTGTGCCTGGATGACCAGAAAACGATCCTCAGCCTCAGTAGTTGCCATCACAATGTCGTCAAACAGGTGTACTATGCTAGTGGAACCTCGCCAAAGCTCGATTAATAACTGTATGATCCACACTAAACACCTCACTAACCTCACGATGTCGAGCCCCTGCTCCACCATACCAACTGCCCGCCACAATTCTGCTTCTGATAAATGCCTTCTAACATTTGCATTCGCCATTATTCACTCTTAAATGTTCAATATTTCAATGGAAAATGAAGAATGAACACCCTACACGAGTCGGTATGTGTATTCTGTGTCAAATAAAGAATATCAAAACACAGGGTCACTTTGTTTGCACTACTATGTAAATCGTGTAGTAATGTATCGAGAATGTACCCTGTGTACACATTACCTTAAATGACAGCACGCGCAAGTAGACTTTTTATATATGAAGGCAGATTTAGAGATCTTGGAAGAAATGATAGAATTTATATTAATTGTGATATGAACCATGTAGAAAATGACTACCCCTTTCTGTTAGTATGTTCTAAGTATGAGGATCTTAAAACTAAATGTTTACCTAATTATTATTATGTTTGGCCCACTATACATGTATATAAATCAAAATATCTAACAAGCTGTTAAACTTAACCTGCAATTTCGTGAAAATAATATCACAATGCACATGCTTTTTACATAAAGTTATTAAATACAAATATAACAACACATTTGTTTACTTGATTTTTACGAATCAAAATAAAACTAATTAACACAACATGAAATTAACTGCTAATAATAACAGCTCCTTCCATAGGCAAAAATAAAAAGCGTTCCATAATAGACGACGCCGCTCACCGGCGTCGCCAATAAACACAAATTGTGCCCAACTACGGAATAAAACAGTTAAGTTCATTTATTTTTCAAGCAACAAACGTGAGTCATATTAGACTAACGTGCCATCTCACTATATTTGTTAATGTAAAGGTGTAGATTTATAAGAACTAATTCCAAATATCTAAACCCATTTTCAATTAACTACCTATTATAAATCGAAATATAGAACATATAGAACGTGCTATTTCGTTGCAAGGACTTTAAGTTTAAGGAGGGCTAACCTAAACTCTAATAAGCCATTTTTCATTGCCGGAGTAAAATCAACAATCCGTACCAATTTTTTTTTGCAATGTATCGTTGATCAGAGCTCAAGATGTCTGAATATTCCCTATGTCGCCTCATGATAATTTTCTATGTCAAGTGCTTTTGTATTTTAAACGTTACAAACTTTGCATGTTAAGCAAGAGATATCAAAAATTGCTATATTAATCTATTTAAAAATGATATAAAATAATATATAAATCTTATATAATCATTATGTTTATGTACACACTTTTCCCATTATTTGTTTATTGAACCGCAGAACATGGCGATTGACATTGTAAACTGTTTTTGTCAATGAAAATTTTAAATCCTGAATCTTTTGAAAACCATAATGTCTACTATAGGTGCTATTTTAATTCTTATGTCATTAAGTCAGAAATTTGTTGATGAAAATAAACATTTATTTGTTGTTGACAATGTTATATTGATTTTATTGTTATTTGCTGACAGATATGTTATGGCCACCCTAGGCAAGTCACTATAGGAAGATTGGAAGTACAACATCATTTAGATCTTTGATATATCGTTTTGCTCTACATGGTATTTAAAAGTAAATACAAGCGAAACAAAAGCGTTTTTTTCCTTAAGCGAGAGAGTTTATAACAAAATGAGAACTGGACGTATACTGTTCAAATTGTAAAGTTGTGAATGATATTAATTATGTAGGTACTGTTTTTGACAACACTGGCAATTTTTCACTAAATTTAGAACCCTTGATAGGTGAAGCTTTTAATGCTTTGTTTCACAATTGTAATTCTTTTTATCTTAAACCTAAGATATTATGTCAATCATTTCATACTTTCACTGCGTCTATTTCATAATATGGGTCTGAAATTTGGGGTCACGCTACATCTAAAGAATTTGAATAAGTTCATTAAAACTTTTGTAACCGCTTCTTTAAATTCTTGTTATTCCGCAGTATATGGTGAGTTGGGGGTAATCCGTTGTAGTTGACTTGTTACATATAGGAGTTATCAAGTTTTTGTGTAAGTTGAAAAACACAGATAATATTTTTTTATAAACTATGTTTGCCGAAGGTTTATTTGACTGTAACAGAGGACACATCCATTGGGTTTCATTAAAAAAAAACACTTTGTAATTATTGTTTTGCTGAAATTTTTAAAGATGATTTTGTTTATGCAAAAGTATTCGCTATCATGTTTTATATACAGACACTTTTAAACAGGAAAGGCCAGCTACGTTAGACTTTTATATTACAATAACTGTAAACTTAATTTTGGTTTTGAAAGGTATCTTGATATTCTGCTTCGTAAATATTGATATTTTTTTGTAGATTAAGATTATCTGTACATACTTCAGGAATACAGGCTGAGAGTTACACCTCGTGATCAGCGATATCGCTGATATTGCAAAACATTTGACATAGAGGATGAATATCACTTTAAAAGTGTACATCATTGTTTTCATAGTCCACGAACTCAGTACTTTAACAAGTGTTTTTATGTTAGACCATAAGATCTTCTTTCAATGCAAAACGAAACTGCTTTAAGTAAGTTATCAAAATATATTCGAGAATCTTTATCATTGAGACTTTTGGACTCGTAAAATGAAAACGAGACTAGATCGAGTACAATAGGGATTGAAAATAAATTTTTGAACTCGGAAAATGAAAACAAGCACTAAATGAAGTATATTTGTGATTTGATATGGAATTTTGGACTCATTTGGGTCCAAAAAATAAATTACTTTGAAAGATCATGTTTTGCAGTCGTTCATTGGTTAAATTTTATATTGTCATTGGTTACATTCTATACTGTGTGAAATAAAAAAATACATAGTAGTCAGTTTTGTTAAATACGGTTATTATCTAAAATGGGAGTAACCTTTTATAAAATATGACAATTATTTATTCAACTTGTTGATAAACTTTTGCTTTCCTTTAAAGGCTTAAATGCAACTTATATCATAAGTGTTTTACGAATTACAGTATTGTTTGATGTAATGATAAAATGAAAATCAGCCTAATAATATCATGAATTTAACATTTGTAGGAATATCGTTGGCTATGATGTGCTGTTAGCAAAATGTCAAAGATTATCATACTTATATAATTTTGTTAAAATAACATACATAGATGTCATTTCTAATTTCAAAAATATATTCATTGCTCGTAATTACAGCAAATTGCTCATGATAACGCACATGGCATTATTTATTATCCTCTAATCATATGTCTTTTTCAGTGTATATTTAGTTACTTAAAGCGGATATAGTACTGTTTATTCGGAACAGCCTTTCGGTAAAAATAGTACGACTTTGGGAGACAACAGAACAAACAAAGGCAAGGATGATCGACCAAAGAAGCAGCATCGGTAAGTATCTGATATTGTCTTCTTTTGATATAAGTATTTAGTGATTTTTTTTTTGAATTTTCAAAACAGCCTGTGGCTTTCTAAATGGGAATATATAGCACGATAAATCAGAAAAGTGGGGATAATCTGGAATAAAATTACAATAAATGAGAATGGAATTTACTCAGGTTTTTTTTTTTTAATTTTCAATTTCAAATTAAATTTAACATGTATGCTACATAATAGAGGCTACGTGTATCTATAGGGAAAGCTTTCTGTCAATTAGATTTACCAGCCTAGTAACTGAAAAAAGTCAGCTTCTGTTAAGTCATGGTTCTGGTGAAAAAGTGCACAAGCCATTTCAGGGAAAATATTAGTATTTTTAGGGGAAAATATACATATCTTTAGCTAGGGTACAGTAAAAAATCACTGGTAATATGTTGCATACTTTGATAATTCTTGATCACACATATTTTTCATTATACCCAGTTTCTTTCTCTTTCTAAGGGTTTATTTGTCTTCTATGTCATTTTGAATCATTGTTATCAAAAGGTTTGATGTTATTTGTTAGATTTGTAATAATTTATCAAATATTTTACCGGGTGTGGCGCCATTATACGAGGGTTGTCCCAAAATATGTAGACAAAGTCTGTTACTTAATCATTATTACACTATTACTAAGGAATAATCCAGCTAAGAAAAGTCAATACATCTTCTATGCGTGTCTGTGCGATACCTTCAAAGTTGACCAAGTTATCGTATGTCGCAACGCCGTTAAATTTCGCACTTGTATCTTAATGTTGCACCCTTGCCGCTTAATGTCGCAGCCGCCGGTCAGAAACTAGGTCACACTGCTCAAAGATGGAGAAACCTTGTTAACACTCCAGAAGTCACATTCTGACTCCACTGTCATGAAACTTGGTCAGGATAATTGGTCTGATGAGTTCGATAGGTCAGGTAGGCGATCTAGGGCCATCTTGGCCCTCTTGTTTAGCAATGCTGGTCCTTATGTGAGAGATCTAAATAATATGTAAAATATATAACAGATTTTCTTTCTTGACAATAAGATATGATAAATCTTTACAACGCCAATCCTTTGAAATATAAAGCCAATTCAGCTCATCTGTGAGCATAATGTCACTTCATAGATGTGAGCATAATGACACTTTATAGATGTGAGCATAATGTCACTTCATAGATGTGAGCATAATGTCACTTCATAGATGTGAGCATAATGTCACTTCATAGAAGTGAGCATAATGTCACTTCATAGATGTGAGCATAATGACACTTCATAGATGTGAGCATAATGTCACTTCATAGATGTGAGCATAATGCCACTTCATAGACGGGACTTATTCTTTTGAGGATATTCCACTGATTTGCCGCCTTTATACATGTACATGTATTACTATTATGAAAGCTGAAATTTATCCAATGCTTTTCGAATCAATTTATTTCAATTAAAAATTATTTTGACTGCACGTAAATGCCTATAATGGAAATATATTTTCCACAAGCATTTCAAATATTTACGAAAGCCTAATAGTGTCAAATGAAATAAAAAATAAAAATGCAAAGGCGTTATAACGCGAATAAAGGCATTATTACGCGAATCAAAAGGCGTAAGAACGCGAATAAAGGCGTAGCAACGCGAATCAAAAGGCGTAATAACGCGAATAAAGGCGTAGCAACGCGAATAAAGGCATTATAACGCGAATCAAAAGGCGTAATAACGCGAATAAAGGCGTTATAACGCGAATCAAAAGGCGTAGTAACGCCTTTATTCGCGTTATAACGCGAATCAAAAGGCGTAGTAACGCGAATAAAGGCGTTATAACGCGAATAAAAAGGCGTAATAACGCGAATAAAGGCGTAATAACGCGAATCAAAAGGCGTAATAACGCGAACAAAGGCGTAATAATGCAAATCAAAAGGCGTAGTAACGCGAATAAAGGCGTAGTTACGCGAACCAAAAGGCGTAATAACGCAAATTAAAACACATTATAATACCAATTTAATACCATAGTTATACTAATCAAATTCGCGAGAAAGGAAGACCAATATTGATCTGAATTTATTGCTCAAGATATAAACTCGTATACAATAATACAATATACATTTACAATAACTTTCATTCCATTTGCACAGTAATTATGCAAACTATTTGTCATAAACTAATAAAGACTCTTTAATATTTGCCAATATTAGATGACTTGGTGACTTATAGGTTATAAAGTATTACCTCCTTCAAATAACAATCCTCCTATGAAGTTTGAATATTGTGGGCCAAATGGAACTTAAGTTATGCTCCCGAAACCAAATTGCTTACGGACAGACAGACATACAGACGGACGGACGCACGTTCCAACATTTTGGGTTTAGGGGCTATTTTCTTTGTTATTTTCTTTGTTCTCTTAAGGGCTACTAGCCCATAAACCCTTTGATCACGGATTGAACCTATTGTTCTCTTTTGTTCTCTTTACTGTTATATAGCCCCTAAACCCAAAATGTTTGCTCGGACGTTGGGACGCCAGGGGGTATAACATAATATGCCCGAAATTGTTTCGGGCATATAATAAAACGTACATCTAGATCAATTCATTTAAATCAACATTGTTCTTCCTTCCATACATTAATAGGCCACTGTTTGGAATTTATATGGTATTAAATTAGCGTTATAACGCCTTTTGTTTTGCGTTATTACGCCTTTTGGTTCGCGTTATTACGCCTTTTGATTCGCGTTATAACGCATTTATTCGCGTTAGTACGCCTTTTGATTCGCGTAATTACGCCTATTGTTTCGCGTTATAACGCGAATCCAAAGGCGTAATTACGCGAATCAAAAGGCGTACTAACGCGAATAAAGGCGTTATAACGCGAATCAAAAGGCGTAATAACGCGAATAAAGGCGTTATAACGCGAAACAAAAGGCGTAGTAACGCCTTTATTCGCGTTATAACGCGAATCAAAAGGCGTAATAACGCGAATAAAGGCGTTATAACGCGAATCAAAAGGCGTAATAACGCGAAAAAAGGCGTAGCAACGCGAATCAAAAGGCGTAGTAACGCCTTTATTCGCGTTATAACGCGAAACAAAAGGCGTAATAACGCCTTTATTCGCGTTATAACGCGAATCAAAAGGCGTAATAACGCGAATTAAGGCGTTATAACGCGAAACAAAATGCGTAATTACGCGAATAAAAGCGTTATAACGCGAATCAAAAGGCGTACTTACGCGAATAAAGGCGTTATAACGCGAATCAAAAGGCGTAGTAACGCCTTTATTCGCGTTTTAACGCGAATCAAAAGGCGTAATTACGCGAATAAAGGCGTTATAACGCGAATCAAAAGGCGTACTAACGCGAATAAAGGCGTTATAACGCGAATCAAAAGGCGTAATAACGTGAATAAAGGCGTTATAACGCGAATCAAAAGGCGTAATAACGCGAACCAAAAGGCATAATAACGCAAAACAAAAGGCGTTATAACGCTAATTTAATACCATATAAATTCCAAACCGTGGCCTAGTAATGTAAGATAGGAAGAACAATTTGATCTAAATAAATCGATCAAGACGTACGTTTTATTTTCAATTCTGTACGGATACGTCCTAAGGCCACAGTCTGATTTTTTAAATCTTTTATTAGGAAATGCTTTCGTCAGATTAAAGGTTAACTTTCACCCAACTATAGATACTTTTCTACATAGACAGAGAAGGGAATGTCTCCTAAAATTGTGACTTAACTGAAACACTATCCCCCATTTAAACATACTTATCAATAATCACCCTAATGTGACTAACTTATACCTTACGTTTTCCCAAATCTTGTTACCTATAGCATATTACCTATAGCTTAATTAGGAATGGCATTCACATAATTAGAAGATACTAGATGTTATAAGGTAATCAAATAGGATATATCCGAAGATAATTGAACATATGACGCACATATAAGATAAGATAAGATAAGATAAGATAAGAAAAGAAAAGAAATTTATTTACTATAGTGACATGTGTAAAAGCAATATATGATACATGTGAATTCAGATTAACTGTATTTACGTCCAGTCCAATGGACCTATAAGGCACCCAGACACCTTAAATTGGCAAATATTAAAGAGTCTTCATTAGTTTATGACAAATAAATTGCATTATTACTGCGCAAATGGAATGTTAGTTATTGTAAATGTAAATTATATTATTCTATACGAGTTTATATCTTGAGGAATAAATTCAGATCAATATTGGTTTGCTTTCTTACGTTACCAGGCCATTTGATTAGTATAAATATGGTATTAAATTGGCATTATAATTCGTTTTAATTGGCGTTAGTACGCCTTTTGGTTCGCGTTACAACGCCTTTATTCGCGTTACTACGCCTTTTGATTTGCGTTATTACGCCTTTCATTTCGCGTTATTACGCCTTTATTCGCGTTATTACGCCTTTGGATTCGCGTTATAACGCCTTTATTCGCGTTGCTACGCCTTTATTTGCGTTGCTACGCCTTTTTTCGCGTTATTACGCCTTTTGATTTGCGTAATTACGCCTTTTGATTCGCGTTATAACGCCTTTATTTGCGTTATTACGCCTTTTGATTCGCGTAATAACGCCTTTATTCGCGTTATAACGCCTTTGTATTTTTATTTTTTATTTCATTTGACACTATTAGGCTTTCGTAAATATTGATTGAATAAATTAATAAAAACTATAGAAATGCGGCATTTTGATATATATCCAAAATATTTCTTGAAAAAGAAAAAAAACAAGTTCTGAATTATTATTTATATAGAGGATATTTGTTTAGTTCCGTGTAAGATCGGAATATATTTCACCGAGTGAGCACCAAAAGGTATATTTCACGAGTGGCGCAGCCACGAGTGAAATATGAACTTTTGGTGTTCACAAGGTGAAATATATTTCGATCTTACACTAAACTAAACAAATTTTCTTTTTATTATATGCAAAGAAACGTTTTAAAAAGACATTAAACTTAATACTGAATGAAAAGCGCGCCAAATAATAATTCAACGTGACGTCATTTATGACGTCACGTCATTAAGTTGGTACCCAGTTCTGTGCACGCTGGTATTTCACTGAAACAACGTAAGGGGCTTAAATTCAAAACAGTGAAATTATCAAAGTGGTAATTTCACTGTTTCAAACAGTGAAATTACCAGTTTTAAATCACTGATATATTTCTATAAACCACCGAAAAGCATGTAATAAATGATCAATAATAAGATTGTGTTCTAGAACAATTTATTATTAATTATATATAAATATTTAATTTGGATCATGTTCCTCACACTTGCCAACAATATGTACATGCAATTTTGTTGTTTGGTGTCACGTTTGACACTAAAGGCCATATACACCTTTTTTATGTATAACATTATACCCTTTACTAATGTACCAATTCACTTTAAAAAGTCATGTAACATTCAAACGCGGGTTGTAAATAATACGCAGTATTTGTTAAATGTTTTGTAGGAAAGAAATTTTCTCATTGTTTAAATATCTATGAAAAAATATTTCTACTTTAAGTGATGCTACTAGCTGTTTCCGCCGTGCTTTCACTGGCTGATTCGGAAAGCGCAGATGAAGTAGTGAAGGAATCTAACTGTAATGAAATAAATACTGTACTGAAACAGTTTGTGGAATGTTTCCGGTCATCAAACGTCACTGGATACTCTAGCGTTATGACCGAATTGACGGAATCCGCCGTGATAACAAGAGAGTCTTTCCTGGCACAAATAACATCTACATGCAGGTATACTGATTACTGTTAGAAAATAATAAACCATATTTTTATTTAATCTATAGCAACCATAAAAACTATCTGAATATCATTAAAATTGTGCATGTCGTTTGTTTTATTGGATTTTATTGTAAAGTTCATATAGCGACTCCTTTTTACACGAGAAGGCAGACCTCGGGTTTTAAATTATTTCAAGCACAAGTGTGCATCTTAATAGAACTTAGCTAACCGAATACCTTCCTAATATGTAACAATCCGTGATGGGATTCTAACCAAAACTGTGAGGCGCAAGTGATTTGAAGACGGCGATTATAAGCACTCAGTCATTGATCTAAAGTATTTCTGAATAAATATATACGATCATTGTTTAATGGCTGTTAATTTCTGACACTGTTATAGTCACTTTTTTCAAAGAAATTTTGCATATAGCATATTTTATTTATAAATGTCAATACATAATTGTCAAATTATGTTTACCCAGCCACTGGATATTATGTATACTTCAAGTTTACTGAATATATACGACATTATAAATCTATCATTAATCAAAGCACAGAAGGCGCTGAATTTGTTTGGGTCTCAGAATGTCAGAATGGTGAAGGTTGTGAGATTATAAACCAATTTGTTTTTGTATAATGCCACCAATGCTTTCCAGTGTTTTAACTGTAGTAAATTAGCTATAAGACTAATTGCAACACTGATAGTCAATTCAATGTTTATTTGACTTAAAAGATTTTTTAAAAAACTGATTTGACTCAACTGGGATTTGAACTCCAGACTTCTCGATTCATAAGCAAGCGTGCAAACCCCTCGGCCACGATGAAGTTCTGTAGTAATGGCTTGAAGAAAACCATATTATTCTAAATTAGGGTTTGTAACTCTTATTATTTCGACGCTAAACCTGTTGTTTAACACAGATGTAAATAAGCATGGAGCTTACTGCAAGCATGTATATCTATAAAGAATGAAATACTTTTAGAAATATTCGACCATTCGGGAACTACTTTGCTTCAAAATTAATGCGCCTGTCATTTGACAATCTTTACGCATTGATCTCCCCTGAATTTTTCGGCGTTAGTGTACATGTAAAGGGAAGTAACCACTTCAAATAAGTGGACTACTTTAGGCAATTGCAATTAACAGCATTAGGCTCTGAAATTTCGCTACCATTATTTATTTGGTCTGACGACACAAACAAATAAAAATGCTGTAAGGCGAGTATCATGTGCTCTCGTTAAACTATTAAATGAAATGAAGTCAGGTGAGTCATCTGGCTATTAACGAGTACCAATCTCCTTATCTAACAGTGATGGGAAACTTAACGAGGCTTATACAAGATGTACAAGGGATGTTATATCAGTCTGTCCAGAACTGAGAGAAACAATCACTGATGTTGTTAGAGAAAAGATTTCTTTTCTTTGTGAAAATAATCAACCATCGTCTTGGATCCGTGGTGGTACGTACATACATGTAAATGGAAAGTACAAATAAAAAAGTTTTCTTACATGATCAGCTATTAAATTTTTTTTTACAATAATTTAATAACGGAAAGAAAAATGATATTCGAAATCATGCAACTTATGTATTTACAGCTTTTGGAAAAATAAGAAAGAAATCAAATTACATAACTCTAGATATTTTTTGTCCGCAACAAGATTTTTTAAACTGTAAGTACAAAATGTTTGGACATCTAATTTGTCTCTCCCAAAATGATTCAATTATTTAAAATTTAAGTATTATAGGTAAGCACAAAGAAATTTGTGCATACATGTATGTTCTATATTTTCCACCTTACCAGTTAGCATGTATGATTTGATCACGTGTTGTATTTCTATGTAATACTCATAGATCATCGTTCTTCTTCTTTATAAATCTTACTAAATATGATTGTTCCAATAAAATGGTCTATGTTTTCTAATGTTTAGGTACGTTTAATTAAACAACTTGTCCATCGTTGCCATGAGTTTTGAATCCCGACATAAAGATGAATATTTTACTGGTTGTTTAAAGCAATAACGTAACTTTCGAAAGTTCTGCTCTGTAATTAGGCACTTTGTGCCAAACACACTTTGGGGTCTGTTCAAACCCCTAGCGCCGGCTTAAGCAGAGATGAAAAGGTTTAAAATTTTGAATTTAGAAACATCCAAGTCATAAAAAGCGTGTATCCTAAACTAGAAATCAATGGGCGGAACTAAACAAAATGGAATTTTGAAAAGGGATCAGAGGTTATGAAGCCTGCATATCACAGATCAGAGGTCAAAAGAAAATTTAAAAATGAGGCAACATATTGTTAACCATATTATAAGAATTCATCATATACTCAAAACAGGTTAGTTTTGCAAAACCTGAAATTATCCAAAATAATGTAAGTTTTCATCGATTCAGAATATAAACTGTCTCGTGTTGTACTAAAATTTAATGATATATCTGTTTATTTTTTAGTCTCAGGCCGGCGTCCAAAATGTCCACAAATAAAAAGAATTAGTCGTTGCGGACATATTGAAGCATATTTAAGAAAGTTTAAATTGGCTTAATCGTAACATTAACTTTCATAAAATAACATGATTGGCACCTGACAAACGTAAAAATTGGTTTTCTACAAAATGAATAACAAAAAGTTACTGGTCATAATCATAAGATATAAAATATCTTAAAAACTATCTTTTTTTTTCTAAAAATTTTCTAAGACTTTTCTTGGCATTGTATACGTTTTCTTTAGCGATGTTATGTATTCCAAGTACTTAGGAATATCGAAAATTATTGTGTAAAAATCTTGATGAAGCCGTCATGCAACTTTATTATGGTAAATTGTATTTCTAACTAACATGTAACAAGTCATTTAAACAGAAAATGAAATGCAGAGGAATGATATTAACTGCATATCATATTTTAAATATGGTTCAATATTGCATTAAAAGTTATCAATTAAATAGGACTAGGCTGACAGAATAGGATATTTTTGAAGCATCTTTTATCATAATTGAAGAACTTTAGTGATTTGTTATATGGTCACAAATTTTAGATACATGTATTTAAAGAGTTGAAATCAATAAAGCATTCACCAGTTAAGCACCACTCACATTTTTATATTACCGCTACATCAGAATTTAAACGACACTTAGTTAGAATGATGTATTTAAGTATCGACCGTCATCTTGAACTTCATCTGAAATATTTCAATGAATCAGACCGAAAATAAGTCAATACTCAGTATTTAAACAGAACTCAGTTGACCCTTCAGATATTGGGAAGCCAAAGTGCGTTGATATGTAGCATATTAACGTACTTTGGGAACAATTTCTCGACTTTGATCTTAAAGTGCGTTTGACACCGAAGTGCGGTGTAACACTGCTCTTACCTTTATGCTTCATAGTACATCTATTGCCATAAAAATGTCGATGTTTCTAAAATGAGCACAATGTTAATACAGTTAAGATTGTGTTACGGACCTGTAGTTTCTGGAAAACTAATTCATATATTGTACATATTTTCAGTTTTGAACGGAGACTACATGCTGAACACCTCGTGTGTCTATTCTCCCGAGAACGATGTGATCGACAATATACGTAACTGCAGTCAAGAGGTTAACTCTAAATTGTCCGGGTCAGTGAAGAAGTTAAATGCTCCAACCGTTGCTGAAGCCCGAGATATGTTCAAGAGGTATTCATGTTCAGATTATTACAGAATCAGAAAAAATGACTGTCATAAAGCATCAGTTTTATTGTAAAGTTTTCATCGAATTTTATCTTTAATTATACCCTACGTTTATTGATGTTTATCATTTTAGGATCTCGTCAGATTGGTTCCAATGCACAGTGTCACCATACTATGGCAATACCATTCTTCCATGCGGAACAAAGAAGAAGCACGTGTTATTAACTTACTGGATAATCTTCTCCATAGGTGGAGATCCATTAAGACCCCCTATTGGACCCGAGGCCATGATAAAACTAACGGTTTGTAGTATTTTTTTCAATTTTCACGGATAGCTTAAAATCTGAATATTGTTGACATATTTTTACTTTATCTGATATTTTTGATTGAAATAGAAATTACCGCTTCTAGCACATTATATGGTGAGTATTTGTAAGTTGGAAATAAACAACGTCTTTTTCTGTATAAATCTAGTCTTATGACTATCGTTATTTTAACATAGATGACTCGCCAGCAATGCTCTTGCTGTAAAGAGTTATATTTGTATCACTATGAATTTCCTTTCTAAGTTTACCAATTATTTTTAGAAATGGAAAAGTATATTGTCCTGTTGTATCACTTGTTAAAGTTTTACTGCGTTCTGTGATCTTTATTCAAGACCCTGTAACTCATTCTGTACGGTTTTGTTTTTATCATAAATATGATGCTCAAATGAAGATTTATCAATATTGTAAGTTGCAAAAAGCATTATTGAATTGTAAAGATATTACCGACTGTATATCTCATGTAAATAAAGGGAGGTAATTAGAATTTTTTTTCAATAAAGTCTAAGCCAAAATGTTCAATAAGAAATGAATGCATATATTTTAATGAATACTTATAATGCGTATAAACATTTACAGTACATGTTTAACGTACATGTGTTCTTGGATGTTTGGAAATTGATTAGAAATTGTTTAGAAAAATAATTATATACATTAAAAAAAAATTCACTTAAGTGTTGTTACATTCTTAATTACAACAAACAGAATCGCAAGTACTAAAAATAAAAGTTTTGTAAACTTCCGGCCAATACCAATTTATATAGGTTTTGTTCGAATTCCAAAGTACTCGAAAATCTCAAATATATAATATACATGAAGTTTTGTGAATATATCTAACTGAAACCAGCGGAGATAAAATTTAATGGCTTGATGATATCATAATTGATGCTGTTACTGCGTGATACTTGAATCGTAAATTTATTCTATATAAATGTATCAGATGTTTTTCAATTTAAGCATAGAAACCTGTAAAAATGTGTATTATGAAACAAATCTGTTAGATTTGTTTGTAAAATACAAAGACAATTTAGTGAACAGTGTGTAAAATAAGAATTATATAGATTTCTTTTTTGCAGGAAATTATGTCACCATTCTACTAGACGGCTGATACTAAGAAAAAGAAACATGTGTTTAAGATGTATGATATTGTCAAATATAGTGTATAAAAATATATATCTGCTGCAAAAGTATATGTGTTTTGTTTGTTCGTTTTCTTTTTCGTTTTTTTCTATACAAAGAATGCTTCCCTTATACTTCATAAAAGAAATATTTTAGTACATATAAATTTCCTTATAAACAAATGGCACATGCACAAAATCATTGCTAAATGGTTAAAATAGTACTATAGGCATTATATTTAATCAACAAACTGAACGTAATAATCTTTATTTATATCTCATCATTGTACAGACATATACACAATGTTAAAAAGTTACAGCATAAAAGAACAATGCCACTCCAGCATGGAGTTATAAGAGATGAAATATCTATATAACAATATTAGAATATAAATATATATAAATGCATAAATCATTAGAACAACACGTTTAAGTGATAAAACTGAGAAACCATTGCTATACATAGACTAATAAAAGGAAACATCGTGACTACCTGAAAGAAGCAATTTAAGATAGTAAGCATACAACATTAAAACTGAGAAATCGTATAAAAATAAACTAAAATAACGATTTCTTTTCAGTTAAAAAATCAAACTAATAAGAATAGCTAAGAAGAATAGCTGCAGTATTTCATACAAATGTGAAAGATATAAATATTTACACGAATAAGAAGCTATTTACATAATAAAAACCGGCGTCTTTGTCAAATATTAAAACAGGTTTGGCACAAATACGAATCATATCTATGTTTGAAAAAAGAAAACAGTATTTGTCATCATCAGACAGTGTCGAAAAGCTGTACTTAAGGAACATGCTTTAGCCAACAAATCCCGCCTTATATTATTGTAAAGAGAACAATTCAAGATAACATGTAATTCATTTTCTATACTATCAGTATTAAAAAAGGACAGATCCTGGCTTGCTCTGGTTAGCCTTCATACCTCCCCATTTCAATCCTTATGGGAGCGACCCTGATTAGGAAATTTACAGAAAGCAGGTCTATGAATTGGTGGTAATACAAGTTTACAGTATTTTTCTACTTTATACTCAGTTTTAGATTTACTATACACTCGTAACTTATTACGTCCACGACCAGAGGGCCCAACAACTTTGTTGATTTTGTTATACCAAATACTTATACAATTATTCAATGTTTTCATTTCAACAGCATGGGCAAAAGAACGGGGTAAAGGACCGATAAAACTGGTGTACAAATGTAACTCATTGACATCATAATAACTTCTAACATGAAAAAACCAGTTTCTATATTAGCGACTAGCCAGTGTGCCAAACGTTTATTAATTCTTGCCGAACTCATACATGATAGCTTAGACCAGTATAAAGAAATACATTTCCATTGTCGGACAATTGGGGGTTTCCAACCCATATCGCCTGCTATACCATCATTAGGTGAATATTTCCCGACACCAAGAAAGAAACGCATAGCTCTGTTATGAACGGCCTCGATACAAGAATATGACCGGAAACCCCATAATGGAGCTCTGTAATTAATAACTGGCCAAACGACGGTGTCGTATAATTTTGTAAAGACATCGTATGGTACACCACCAATGACTTTGCATTTAGCAATTAGCAATCCTAAAGCACGACTGACACTCTGGGCAACAAATTTTACAGTAATATCATAATCTAAATGTTCATTAAATACTACGCCTAAGTAAGTATATCTATCAACAATACAAATCTGATTCGTTCCGCAAGTAAACATAAATTTGGTAGATAATTCAGATTTATGTCGGAAGTGTACACCATTACTTTTATTGGCATTAACATTCATATTATTAAGCGAACACCAGCAATCTAGAGCATTTAATAACACTTGCAGATCCTCTGCTGATTCGAACAGTATAACAATATCATCGGCGTAAAGCATAATAAAAACATTCTCGGTTCCAATGTCTATACCTTTACCAAATGATTTAAGATAAATGGACAGATCGTTAATGAATAAATTAAACAAAAGAGGTGAAAGGATACATCCCTGACGAAGGCCACAATCAACATCAAACCAACCTGTCTTATGATTGTTAACCCTAACACATGACTTTACCGATACATGTTATAATTTTACAGCTCCAAACATTTTACCACTTATGCCTATATCAGATAAGCGCTTCCATAAAATACTTCTATCTATAGTATCATATGCCTTTTTGAAATCTATGAAAGCACAAAAATGGGATTTACGTAACTTTTTCCTAGTTTCAATTAAATTTGTTAAGCAAAGTACTTGGTCTGTAGTACTCCGACCTTTTCTTAAACCATTCTGTTCGTCAGAGACCTTATCATTGTTCTCGGACCAAGCATTTAACCTACTGTTTAAAATAGAACAATAAATTCTATACATAGAAGGGGCTAGGGCAATACCTCTGTAAGACAAGGGGTCTCTGCGATCCAATGTGGATGATTTAGGAATGGGGTTGATAATGCACTTACTCCAAAGCGACGGGACAATGCTATTATCAAAACATATATTAAATAAAACATGTAAAAAAGAGATTGTTGCATCATTATTAAGTACTTCAACAGGAATATTGTCTATACCACTAGTCTTACCTTTATGAACAGATTTAATAGCTTTTCGAACTTCTAACAAAGATATGTGAGTATTAAAACTGAGATTGTCATAAAAAATATCATTATCATTTGATGTATCCGTAACATTATTTGTCGTTTGGAACAGGGAGCTAAAATCATTTTTCCATTTCGATAAAACAATATCTATATCACCTGAGATTGATCCATCCTCTAAAACAACTTCCATTATCTTTTTTACAATTCACTCCAATTTTGCCAATAGATTTCCAAAACTCTGTGGTATTAACAGCGCACTCATCTAATAGCTGCGATTGTAACGAGTACCAATGGAAACGCTTAGCTCTCTGAACTTCGCGATCAAATAATTTACGGGTACTTACATAATTAGACTTTAATGTAGAACAATTTGCTTTGTTTTACTTGAAAGCCATGCTTTTTCAGATATACAAACGTTATTCCACAAATCTGATAACCGATCAGTCCACCATGGCTTTCCGGGGCGCCGTCTTTTTTACAATTACCATATTTAATCTCCCTAAATGGTAATTTATCGTGCATGTTCTGTTTAACAATACCATACCAATCATTATATACCTCGTCAATATCAGATTGTGTACGAAAACTACATTCAAGTTTAGAAATTGCTAAGTTAACATCATATAAAGTGTCTTGATTAATCATAAAATCAGCTGGAACATTAGTAACGTCATATTTATAATAACTTTTATCATGTGGTTTACTCTCGCAAAATACATGTTGAATACATTTATTATCAAGTATAATGTCCCATAAGAAAGAGTACTAGATGCTATGGAAGACACAAGTTTAGTTTTATTAATAAGATCTGTCACTCTTAAAACATTGAATTTCTCAAATTTCTCAAAATCATCATGACTAACAAAACAATAATCCACTACAGATCTACCTTTAGTGGAAATAGAGGTAAAATCGTTGCGCACATTGCCACGACCATTTAACATACACATATTTACATTGATTAAGAAATCTATTAATAAGTCACCATAACTATTAAGACTAAAATCAATTACTTCACGGTCAATTACATTATCAATTCCTCTAATAAAATCATCAGTATCCCCGCATCTGCTATTGAAATCCCCGCAAATACTTAGTATACATAGTTCCACAATCTTTATACTGATATACTATAGAGAGTAAAGAATACATCAAATAATCTAGAAGAGTTTTCCGGTGGAAGATAACAAACACATGGTAAGATTGTAATATTGTCTGATTTATGACACAATTTAAGAAGTAAAATGCCTTCATTAGAACTGTCAACAACAGATACCGTAAACTGTTCAAGTAAATTGTTCCTAATGAAAAAACCGACCCCACCAGAACCAGTCTTGGCATTTTTGTGTATTATGACTCTGTTGTGGCCATACCATGTGTAACCCACTAGATGAAGTACTTCGTCGTATGCCTGATAACAAATGCTTTAATTTTACGCTCAATATTCATTTGTGATAAATAACAGAGACATTTTATGTTACAGAACAGAACAGAACAACAATTTTATTCATGACTTGTACAATAAGTACATCATCACATATACAAATATATACAATATGCATAATTGTCACAGTGAAATAACATATTTACATTACATATCAATTATCATATGAGGATGAACTACAATTAATTGTAAGTAAATGTAGTTATAAGATATAAAGCATTTTTAATATACAAAGCTAGATTTTTCAAAAGTAACTTGTTTGTTGAATTTAAAAGATCTAAAATCTTATGAACGCTAGGTCTAACGTAGTAATAAGGTTTAAAAAGCTCAACATAACATGGACAAATGATAATAAAACAGATCGTGCATGTTACAATAAACGCAATAACGTTCATTCCTAGGTAACCTATTATTTCCAAACTGCCAGTATGAATAAGTAAAGGATGAGAAGACATTCTGATTTTATTCAATGCTTTGCCAACGAGTTGTTCTTGGTTGAGTGCAAAATTACCTGTATAATTGAAAACAGTTCCTAAATAGTTAAAATCATTTACACAATGTAACTTATGGCCTTTGTAAAAAAAATCCTCGGAAGGCAATAATCCTCCTCTTTTTCTAAAAACAATAACTTTTGTTTTATCAATGTTAACTTCAAGGCCCCATCTATCACAATATTCACATAATAAATTTTAACTTTTACATATTTCGTCTGGTGAATTTCCAAGTATAGCCATATCATCTGCAAATAACATTAAAATCAGTAGAATTTCATTAATTTCTAAACCACAATTGACGTCTTGTTCAAAATCATCTATAAAAAGAGAAAATAAAACCGGTGAAGTTACCTCCCCTTGTCTTAAACCTACAGCATATTCAAAAAAATCTGAATAGGTATTACATACCTTTACACATGATTTAACCTTTTGATACATATCCCTAACAATACGCAATAATTTAACCTTCATACCTAGATTATGCAATTTAAACCACAATGCTTTCCGATACACACAATCAAAAGCTTTTTTTAAAATCAACAAAAACACAATATAAACGTTTGTTATGGTCAACATAATTTTGAACAATAGAAGATAAAACAAATAAAGCATTAATAGTTGACTTTCCTTTCCTAAAACCAAACTGTGCGTCAGACAGTATGCAATTTTCCTCACAATAGTTTGTAATTCTTTTATTGATAATGGACGTAAACATTTTTGAAAAACAGCTAACTAAAGTTATGCCTCGATAGTTGTTTACATTATTTTGATCCCCTTTTTTATGAAGAGGAATAATAACCCCTTCTGTCCAACTATCTGGAAAATGCCCACTGTCAAGTATACAATTAAAAATATCACATAAATGAGACGATAAAATATCAATTGATTCAATGAAATATTCATTTAAAAGAAAATCGTTACCACAAGCCTTGCCTCTTTTAAGTGATTTTACAGCATTTATAATTTCATTTACAGTTATTGGTTGATCTAACAAAATATCACCGTTATCAATATCATTAAAATCATGCGTATTTGAAAAATATTCAGATTCCTCATCAGTAGTCTGAAAAATGTCGTTTCCTTATTCGGAAAAATATTTGAAAAAATCATCAAGTGATAGATTATGTTTAACATTACTTTTATTTATGAAAAACTTCCAAAATTCTTTTGGTTTAGAAAATCTTAATTTTTCTATTTCTCTCACATGTTTAAATTTACACATTCTACGTTTTTTCTTAACAATCGTTTTATATCTTTTCTTGTACAAATATAACTGTTCCCTATTTATATCAGAATTAAAACGGTTAAAAGCAGACAACGCATTCTTGATAAATGTCTCGAGCGATCACACTCGTGGTCAAACCAAGGCTGATCTAATGTAACGCTACTACCGTTAAATGAAACCCTTTTCTTAACATTAATTTCTTTACGAAACAATGGATCAGCTATATCATGTAAAATAGATGTGAACTTCTTTAACATAAGGTCAGTCGATTACAACTCTTCCGAGAATCGATCACAAGATTATGAAAACAACATTTTATGGTAAATGAAACTATTTCTTCAGATGTAGGTTTATTCTCTTTAAAGTCACTCTATATCATAAAGTAGAAATAAAAGTATCTTGAAAAATGTGATTCACCGGAAGCATTAAAATCAGCAAAATTACATGAAAAGTTCGGTTTGAATGAGTCTGTGCGTGAGGGATAATGAACAAGTGCGACATCCCTCAAGCCCCAAGCACCGGATTGAGCGGTACTCAACTTCCAACCCTTAAAAGTGCTGGAATTAATGATCCCGAAGGACACAACAAAAACCACAACAAATGGTAAAACTTAACCATAATATAGTTTCATATTTTTATTTTTTACATTTTGTTGAGTTTGATTCAATTATGAATATATTAGTCTACACCTTAACGAATTTCTAATTATTATGTAGATAAAATTAGATAATGATAAAAAGAATATGATATTCAATCATGGCCCTATCACTTCAGTTAAACGTCTATTCGAATCGCTTAAAGCTCTGTGACATGTTGTACATCAGAAAAGCTAATTTTATTAGAAAACTTGAAAACAGTGTGATTTTGTTTAAAAAAATATACAATTGTACCCATTGCTGTCTGGACAAATGCATATCTACTAGACGCCGCGTCGTCTTCATCATTGAATTACATATTCCTACATGGAAGTATAGCCAACGACCAATCCAATCTCTATCCAGTGAAAGTACAGAAATAATACGGCTACGTTTAATGATATACTGTGTTCAAATTTGATATTAGAAAATACATGTACAGTGTCATTAAAAAACTGGCAGTTATTTTGTTAAAGAAAATACCAACTTTTCTTCACCTTTAATAGCTTCCCGTAGATAGTTTATTCATAATTTTATTTAAATTAGATATAATCAGTAAGAATTTCCTAGATTTCAATAAAGTTTTGTGATTAAAATAATATACTCAATGATGAGCATAGATATATTTCAGTAACAACTTACTGCTGTTTTCATATACCAATTTGTAGACTTGTCATATACCTGAAGTTTGTCATAAAACATCAATTTCTATTTCTATAGGCTTTTTTTTATTTTTCTACTTAAAATGATATGAAGAAACATATTTTTCAACAATGAACACAATTTTATTCTATCTGAGAACCTTTATACTCTGGTATTGTCTTTACAAATAAATAAACTTTTTAATATGAAATGATACATGAACATAGTCAGTAAATATAATTTAAAACAAACAAAGTTAATTATTGGTGGAGGATATAATTTATCTAGTTTGAATATTTACATATTTCAAATGAAATGTGTCAACTCTGTCCCGCCGGAAATAATAATACAAAATGAGAAAAAAAGGAGAGAGAGAGAGAGAGAGAGGGGAAAAAAATCAAATATAATAATCCGATATCCAGTTGATATTATTGTCCTTCACAGCCATTCATGTATTACATGTATATTCATTTTACATTTACTATCTTTATGTATGTTGTGGCATTCAATTTGTAGCCGTTACAAGATAAATCATGGTCTGGACTTTCGTCACGGAAAAAGTTATCCCTGAGAAATTATATCTCTCTTTAAGTATGACAATTTATTGATGTATAAATGTTAATACCTTGAAATAACAGACATTAAAATTGCATCATTGAGATAATAAAACGGATGTTTTCTTCAAAGCATTTTTCTGCAAAAGCTGGCGTTTAACAACGACAAACTACCTTATCAAAACTCATTATGTCGTCCACAACGTTTAGTTTGTCGCAATTCAGAGCATATTACAGTATAATCACGTCAAAATCAGCACATATTTTCCAAAATATTATCCATTTTACTTGCAAATGTCAAAGTTGTATTGTAAGTTTACAGGGCTAAGGTTATGTTAAGTTATCGTAAAAGCCAATAAGCTAAATAAGAATTGATTTCAACCAAGAAAAAAAGAGATATATACGTAATGTGCTATTTGGAGGCATCAAAACAAAACCGAGAACGCCGAATAAAAATAAAATGTCCCAACCACCAACCAAGAAAAAATGAGAGTTTACAAAAAAAAGAAGGTTTTAAAGCTTCCTATTCAATCCGTAAATTTTTTTATGTACTTTAGGCTTCAATTACCATTATCGTCTATAAGTAGGCTCAACCAAACCAAGCATGCAACTATTTAATTTCGACGTCTTGTGGGTTCTTTATTGCTCCTGTTTTTCTCTAATTTAGTTTAGAATCACATAATTCTAAGCTTAATAAAATAAGAGAAAAAGTAAAAATAAAAAGGACAACACAAAATAAAGGGAAAACTTTAAAAAAAGAATAATAACAAACAAAAGCATTGTCTACCAACTTGTTTAATGGGCTCATTCTATTTCAAACTTGTATTTGAAACTTCTATTGTGAGTTTGTGGGATTACACGTTCAAAATGAGAAGATTGGGTAGAATATAGGGTAAAGCTTTGGCAGATATAATTTCGGCGTAGATAACTCATTACTTATGCATTTAATTGTAGAAAAATATTTTAGAATTGCTCGTAATTTTATCATTTATTTTCTTGTTATTTGTTCTAAACTGCAGTAAAATTAGGATAATTTAAACACTTATGTCATAAAATGTTTTTGTCTCTTTTATGAAGTATTGTAAATTCCAATCTTGTCTCAAAAACAAGCCATCATCCTAGATGCTATTTATTCCAATTAAACCAAATTGTTCGCAGTCATCTTTTCAAGCTACATTGTTTGTTGGAATTTTGTTGGGAATGTTGCATTATTATCATAATGTGATAGATAATTTGACACATGCTATTGCATAAATAACACTTGTATTTTGTCATTTTATAAAATTCTCAGCGCTGTTACGCTCCTAGATTTCTGTTTCATCCGGCCGATTAATTTAATGTAAAAAAATTGTTCCAAATGTGTAGTTTAAACGATGACATACACACAATTTGCATAATTTACCACACTTCATAATATATAATGATTTGGGAAAAATAATCTCGGCCATTCAACACAAGGATTTGTACAAGTGATAAGGTCTTAGGAAAAGAAATCCACTGCTAAAATCTAAAATGAAGGATTCAAATCTCAGATTCGGTAAGTATAAGAATTTGTTGTTTTATGTTTATTTGTTTGTTTGATTTGTTTATTTTATTCTTTTTTTTTTATTAAAACGCATACATCTGTTAGTGTAATTAATGTACAACTTTTTCTTGGTCATTAATTGTCTAGGGTTATTTTTTTCTAAACCGTCAATTGTTTTAGTAATATTAGATCATACTGTTCCATTATTAAAGAAACATTTAACGGCATTTAAATCAAAACCATTCCACTAAGAAAAAAGATAGGCCACTGTCAAAATATTTTATATTCTTCTAGAAAAACATACATCATGTGCACTTCTTAAATATATAGCATTCTTTTTAATCCCCACAGTAAGCCGACACGCATACGTTTCAGTTCATAAACAGAAAAATATCTGAAACATTCCAGTGTAAATTAAAATGGGTAATTAACTCAAACAAACATATTAATTTTCCATAACTTTCCATATTTGAACAAGCACTTACAACAATTTAAGTTGGATATATTAAAATTATAAAAAGGACAATCGCGAAAATCATGTGCAGATTTTAAACTTTGAGAAAAGTTAAAAACTTCTCATTGATTCTGCATGTAAATCAAGTTGAGTAGAAGACAATATGTACGCATGAACATAATTCTGGAAACAATTTCATAATTTTACCTTTTAACAGCTAAGAATCCTAAGTCCAAGAAAACCCACATCTAATATTTGACCCAAGCATGCTGATTCTTCTAAACAAAAACGTTAAGAATTTAACTTTTAAACAGACTAAAAAAGGTTCTACTCTATTTCTAAAAGCCTTGTTTTGTTTCTAAAAACGGGCGATGATCCAGGCAATTAGCAAAACACCGTGCAGAAATCTAAGCCCTTAAGTATTGAATTTATTATTGATAAAAAAGTCTTCAACTTTTCATTCAGGAATACTGATATAAACTCAAAACTATTTCAAAATATGCCTGTCCATTCTATTTCTTGTACAGGAATGGAACCAAAATAGATTTTTATCATAAAAGACAAACCTTGCTGAATGTCGTGTAAATACTCTAGAATCCACGACTTAATTCTACATAAAGAATTTCTTATTATTAAGGTATCACCCAGAGCAGAATTAAATGTACTGTTAGTACCAAATAAATTATCAACACACATGACTATCTTTATACTATAACTTCTCCAAAACATGAATTCACTTAAACATTTGTAAAAACAAAACGAGCTGTACTTATTCAAAACCGTGAGACAAAACAAAATGACCAAGTGTCAAATAGCTGTACTGATGTCATGTTCATAAAAATATTTTTTCTTCCAAATATTCTTAAGCGTTTTTCCAATCCTTAAAGGAAAACTTATCTTTCCAAAGAAATTTGTTTACCAGCCTTAAATCTAATATTAACCTTTTCTTTCCACGCTTATTTGATAGAAACATACTTGTAATATATAAACGTACAAGTTTTAATAACACATTATTCTCCCACATTTCGTCTTACGTCCGAGGTGTTTTTTAGTTGAAAATTTACTTATTCAGTACCTTAAAACCTCTAGAAAATGATGTTGATGCAAATGTTGTGTTTCTATTTCAATATAGTGTTGTTGCTAGCGGTGATCGTGAGCTGTGGAGCTGATTCAGCAGTATCAGAGGACGAATCAGAAGAAGAGATGTTCAACTGTGATAGATACGAAAACATCGTACAACGATTCTCCGAATGTTTTAGGTCAAGAAATACTACTGGTTACTCCATCTTGATGACAAGAATAGACGAGTTGAATATAGTAACAAGAGGAGCTTTCCTGGCACAAATTACGTCATTATGCAGGTAAAGAAATCTGAAATCAATACTTTCTTAGTTCCTTTCCGATGGTCCTATGTGAGTGTATGCTGCGTTCTGTAAACTTCGGTCTTCCTTGATGATCTTTGTTCAAATATACAAACTCGTAATATTACAAACTAAAGAATCAGTATTACCTAGAATGTATTTTAAATCACATATTTGCGTCCAGCACTGTTTGCCTGTTTCATTCCATAGATTTTCCCCGAAATTTTACCTCTTCTTTTTTTATGGGGGATGTGGTGGGGATACGACATGACATGTTTTAAGTGTAATATTATTCTTCAACACGATATTATTGTTGTGTTTGTGCTAATTTTAGTTACTTCTATTTGGCTTTTTTTAATTGTTGAGTGGTTCCAGTAGTTCTTACTTGAATAATGTTTACCGTAACACAGACAAAATCGCAATATTTTTAAAAGGATGCTCGATTTTCAATGAGGCAGATAACACGTATGACAAACTTGTCATTAGCACAACCGGAAGATGTGTCAAAAATATAACAAGAAAGCTTTTGACAATGTGATTTCTGGTAATGCGACTTGCGTTTACATATTTGAACTCAAACGAAAGTGTTAATTTTTGGAACCACAAATGCAAACGCCAGTACATTGCAAAGTGAAATAATGGTTCTGAAAAATCTGCTACATAAAGGAAAAAAATGACCGAAAGTACTTTCTAAAGAAATGATGTTCTTTGCGAATAAAATTACTGCTACAAACTTTATCGTCCCAAGACAGGACTCAAGTACACCCGTTTCTTATATGTTAACGCATCCGCCCATAAGTCGTACAGTGTTATTGGGTTTTGGCGTAGGAGAATGAAACCAACATCCCACATCATCTTTCTCCCTCTGACATTTTCTTTTCCCCAAATCTAGAATACTACCTGTCTGGAAAAATGTACCATTCCAGGAAGGCCGTTGGCTCAGCAATATATCAGAATTCAGATGATGAGTATGAAATATGGGTTGAAAGACTGCAAAAGTGCATTGTGGCAGATAGCGTGTATTTTGAAGATGACACATTAAATTGATCAAAACTTTCTTTTAAGAATAAATAAATAAATAAAAACAAACAAAACAAACAGAAAAAAGTCAGTAATCAACTTAAAACAATGATTACTGAAAATGAAAGCAACAGAAGAAAATAACATTTGAGTTTTGCATGATATTATGGAATCTCAGCATATACTTATTATTTTGTTAGCATATCAAAATTTTGTAGCTTAATTTGGGCAGACCGAAATAACATAAAACGCTTTAAAAAAAGCTACCGATAAGTAAAAGATATACACTTTTTAGCAACATTGAATAAAACAATTAAATTAGATAGTTCATTCGTGTGTACAAGTTTAAATGGACAAATCCTGCAATTGTAATTGAGCAGCTCACTGTGTTGTTACATGTAATTATAAAAAATACATGTATGTTACCATATTTGTCACTAACCAAATGCGGATTTTTTCTATCCGATTATTCGTATTCACCATTCTTGATATGCATGTATTTTATGAAAGCATCTATATTATGATCAGGTTAACCAGGATTTCAATTTCAAAAGTCCTTCATAATAGGTTGGCAAATGTGGACAGGCTGGAGAGCGGTAGATCAAACTTGGTATATAGCAAGCTTATATGGAAATTTGGCTATTCAGCTTGGGACTACTTTTGTGTCCAATAGGGTTAAGGTCAAAATCAAAGTTTTAAATATAACATTGACCGTTGAAACTCAATCGAATTGTTTTTCAAATCTTATTGTTATCTATCAAACTTAGGCAAAACAAAATATTATTTATGCAATTAAAAGTAAATGAAAAGTACTCTTTATAAATATGTTTACAACAAGCCAAATGTTTGCGATTTCTTGTGAAGACAGTTCTTCCGAGTATGAAATGTTTAAGACAAATCTTTTTGGAATGTGCCTCACCTTGATCACCTCGCCTCAAATAAACTTTCCAAATACAGTTTTATTTTACTTTTTGCAACTGGCCACTGCCTTACAAACACCTAAATATTTTTACTCCGACTAATTCTCTCTGATTTTCGGTACTTTTAGTGCTTTGATCCTAATCTTTCAGTGACGAGCAAATTAACGAGGCTTATACAAGATGTACAAGAGATATTGTATCAGTCTGTCCAGAGCTTACAGAAACAATCAATGATGTTGTAAGAGAAAAGGTTTCTTTTCTTTGTGAAAATAATCAACCATCCTCTTGGATCCGTGGTGGTACGTATGCACTTGTAAATGGAGCACATATATACTTTTTCTACATTCACAATATAACAACCCTTCTTATAGGAAGGCTCTTTTTGGACAGTATATGAACCATATACATATGCATTGTGATTTTTATTTAACATTTTATTTCAATTACAGTCACCGACAACCACGACTTTTTGTATTCCAAATATATTCATAATTTGAAACTCACATTTTTAGAACTTGTTTTTGCTCTTCATTTAAATGTTAACATTATTTACTTGTAACTTAAATACATTATATATTTTCAGTTTTGAACGAAGATTACATGTTAAACATGACATGTTTTCAGTCTTACGAGAATGAGGTGTTAAAGTCTATACACGATTGTTTTCGTAAAACACACGGCATGATGTCCGAGATAAAGAAAATTTATGCTCAAACTCTATCAATGGCTCGAGAACAATACAAAAGGTATTTATCTTTGCAACTACATTAAATATTTTGTAATAAGACAAATTATTTACCATAGCACGAGTTAAATTGTTTTATTATACTATTTTAGGGCCTTATCTGATTTGTTCCAATGCACAGCTTCACCTTACTATGGCGATACCACTCTATCATGCGGATCAAAGAAAAAGGAGGTACTATTAACTTACTGGATCGTCTTCTCCGTGGCCATTGATCCATTAACTCCACCCATAGGACCTCAGGCCAGAAATAAATTGACGGTAAGTTGTAGGATTTCAATCTTACTTGAGAACTGAATATTTGTGATTTATACAATTTGTAAACTTATAGTTTTACATAATTAGATTTTCTTCGGGAGTAATTCAGTAAATCTATTGATACATTGTTTTAGGGTTTATGTCCCCTTACTTTTCGTGCATATATATCTGCAGAAGCACGTGGACGTATTTAAAGCCCGAGCTCCGTTTGAGAGCGTCTGCAGATGTGAATGCACGTTGTTTATCTTAATTTTGTATGCAGAAACCATGATTGCTTGCGCCATGCTTTCCACGTATAAGTGCTATGACATTGGACAGTTATATTATGGAAATGAAATAACCTACCGTCTCTTTTGTCAAAAGCGGTATAGTAAAAAACATATCGACCTAACTAATTATACTCTAACTGTTGTACATGTTGTAAGATCGAGACCGCGTATGTTATTAACATTTTCAACATTATTGAAGCTATATGATTGTTTTTATGTTGTTCGTTTTGTTTTAATAAATGTTTGTTTTACTCTTTTTAGTAGAGTTTTACTCTTTTAAAATACCATTGTTTTATATTAATATCTCAAATTCATTCGGATGCCATTTTAGTGCCGTAAAACATAATACAAATCGAGGCAAAACAGTGTTTCTAAGTTGCTTCATATCCGTGAACACAATTTTGCAAACATTCGTCTATTTCCATATAAATATACTTCAAAAATAAATAGCCGGTCTAAAACAATGGAAACAATAGGGATCGCACCACAGACCTCTTATATGTTAGGCAATCACTTAACCGACTATGCTATTGCGTATGTGCCGGAGACCTATAAGTTAAGCTGGCGTGACTTCAAAACAGTATAGTTACATACTTCATATTAATTCTCATAAACTACAGGACAAAACCGAAGTAGGATCGAATATTTAAATAATATTTTAATAATGCTTTAATATATTCAAACTTGACAGGTCAATAAAATCTCTTCAAATAATAAACTTCATTAAAATATAATTATCGTATATATCCCGTAACCCGTACCGGAATGTTGAAATAATGAAGTTGTGCTAAAAAACACATTTATATATGCAAATTTATGGAAAAATGACTACTTCTAAAGCTGTAATATCGGGATGTATACTATCATTGAAATCTTATGCGTAAATCATAATAAGTAACCAAAAACTCCCGAAAATTAATGAGTCTCTGGTCAATATTGCCAAAAAAAACCTTATTTTAAACATGAATGCGTTTGTAACTGGCGATGTCATTCACGACGTTGGCTTAAGTTGTAACTTATTATATTGACATTGGACAATGGGGAACAACGATTATCGGACATTAGTTTTGGGATACTCAATAAAAAATTGTAAATGCGCGTGAGATGGTGGACAATTGACATAAAAATTACATCAAGAATGTTATTCAAATTCTTATTGCTCTTGTTATCTCAGCTCTTAGTTTCATGTTGTCTGAGAAGTTACATGAATGGGGTTAACTGTTAAGATCTATCTAAGTAATTGCATTGAAAAATATCAACATATTTTTGTTGCAAAATCTTGCACAAACTGTTATGATAGATTGTTGGAAGAATCATAAAAAAATTTTCAAATCATTTTTTGACACCAGCACCTTATTATGAACTTTCATTATCTTTTGCAGGAAATGATGTCACCACTCTACTAGAAGGCTCATCAAATGATATGTGTTTCAAATGAACTATATTGGCAATAATAATGAATTAAGTCACAAATAAATTGAAATAAAGTACAAAAAATACATATGTTACCCAATGTTGTGTTTTATAAAATCAAAAATATTTCAGCCTATTTCTTGTTGATGTTGATTGAGTGACAACTTTACCATCACGTGAAACACTTGGCTCTTAAATAGCGTCGTATGTAATGTTTTGGTATAATAAATAAAAATTTTAATAACACATTGCCGTGCCTGTGTAATAGCACATCAAATACCAAAGAAGAAAACAAAAACTATTTAAAATATAGAGCTATAAAACTTCCATAATACTTGTATTTTATAATACATGATGTCACTACTATACTAGTTGGGTAATACTAAAATTAGAATGTATGAAATGTGAGAGCAATGGTTCACTAAATGGCACTTATGGTTAAATCTTTTAATCTACATGTACCATCTGTACTTGAATCATACACATTCATTATGTAAGTAAGTCAAGTACACACATCTATTGATACTTTATTTTCAATAACAAATGAAAACAAATTGTAAGTCCTTCAAATAGTTCAAATAATGAAAAGTGTTCATTCTCAGACCTTATCTCCAACAAAACATAATGGAATCTTTCATATTTCATGAGAAAGAAACATGCTAAATAATGAAATCAGCAAATACACTAGTTATCAATCTTTGTAAAAGAAAGAACGCGGACGCAAAATAATTTTAAAATTCATACATAACAACTTTGTGTGACCTTCACATTGACGGAGACTCTAGGAATACTAGATCTGTGCTCTGAACATCATCTCATTATGGTTATAATTTCTGCTGAAAAGTATCCATTTATTTAAATCAGTTCAAAAGCTACAAAGCAGACACATAATTGATAATAGACTACCAGTCACATTACTAGTACATGTCTAATATTCTTTCAGGCATATAAAAATGAACCAAGATCAAACGATTATGACTTGGAACAACAATTTCAACTATCATTTACAAAAGCAAAATTGCAGATATGAAATTTCATTCATTTCAACATGTCACATAGTTATCGAATACAGATTATACTGTACTGGCATACCCAGTTGAATCTTTGTTTAAAATCAATAATAGGTCTTATAAATCTTAGTCAGGCAAAATTATTATTTTCTGGTCTGATGTTTACTTTAAAAAACAAATAGGACAAGGTATAGGGGCCTTCAAATTTTTGGAATTAGGGCCTTCTAATTCTGGGATTTGCCTATAATTTTTGACACATGCAAATACAAGGTGCAACTACAAATAATAGGTCTTATAAATCTTAGTCATGCATAATTATTATTCCCTGGTCTGATATCTTCTTTTTAAAAATAAATAGGACAAGGTAGAGGGGCCTTTAAATTATGGGAGTTGCCTATAATTTTTGACACATTCAAATACAAGGTGTAATTACAAATGATCATTTTCTATCCAAAGTATTACAGGTGTTTTAAAATTATTTATTACATTTAGAGACAAATGTATTGTATCCAGAAAAAGTGACAACAAAAGTATCTTGCATAGGTAACAAAAATTACAACACATACAAGTTATAATACAATGTATATTAAATGGAAACTGATTAGTCAATTTCTATCAAATGAAGTGACATCATATCATATAAACTTTCAAATGTTCCAGTTAAAGTTACATTTGGTGGATCTTCAAATGATAAATGGGGAAAAAATAATTCTTCTGATTTTATGCTATACAATCCATTGCATTTTAGTTTAAATTCTTCTACAAGGGAACCTGGTATACATACAAAAATCTTTTTTTCCACACTTTTAATTACATCAGAGTTTGTAACTTTTAATTTGGAGATTTTCTTTTTTTCTATTTCATCTATCACAGATTGAAAATTACTTCCCTTTAAATCTATCAATTCAAGATTTGACATATGATTTAATAACACATGTTTTGGTGGCATATAGGTATGAGAGTATATTAATGTGATTGAGGTACTGTCATTTTCCTGAAATTCTTTTTGTATCATTGTTTGCAGTTTCATAAGGCTAGGAATAACACCACCCTGGTGCAGTGTGCCAAATACCACACTCAATACAAGGTTAAAAACTACAAAAGTTAACCAGAATAATTTACTAAGTTTGGTACTAAAAATAGCAACACTAATCACAACAAGTGGTAGCAGAGGAATAAGAAACCTGGCTTCTTGATGAGGAAAAAATGACAATACCATAATAGGGAATAGAATGAATATCCCTAACATTCTCTCAAAATCACTTTTCAGTTTATTTTGGCATTTATCTTCTCGTTGACGAGGCTGTGTCTTACTGACTTGCATAGTCCCTTCATCTGATTTTGTTATTTTCAAGAGAATAAGCGCATTATTAATTAAATGTCGAGTTAAGTAAAAAAACATTGGGCCAAAAAGTAGAGGCATGTTTACCATTGAATGTAGATAAAATGGATGGTATCCATGTTCTGCTAGATTTACAGACATGCTGTTGTACAGCACAAAATTTAGAGGAGTTTTGACACACTTTTTCAACATATTCTGCCAGCCGTCTACACTAAGTAATGATGTAATATCAAAGCCAGTAAAATATGCTGTATCCATTATAACAAATACAAAAGATAACAAAATGCCTGTACATATAAAAACTGCTGCCCTTTTAAAAACATATATTTCACCTGTTGGATGCTTTTTTGCCCACCAAAAAAGTGGAAGAAAAGCAAAAATTACAAATGTTGGACGATTAAATATGCCTACAGTAACAACTAGTGCCATAACACTTATATAAATGTACACATTACTAGTTTGAACACCTTTTTTCAAGTCCTTTACATGTCTTTCATTGTGTTTTTCCACTTTTTCTGAATAGTTTTCAAATTGAAACCTCATTTCTGGTTTGTTAAATATTCCTTCTCTCTTTAATTCTACTTCATTATCAACTATCTTATTTCTGTTCCTTAAATTAAAGGCATTTTTATGTAAATCATTTAAAGAAGAATTTAAATCTTCAGTGTCTGAACTTGCATCCTCAAAGTATCCCTCAGCTACTGTTTTATCAGTGATGTTATCTAAATGGAAACTTGCTCTTGAGAATGAGTTAATTTTGTCTTTTCTCATACATATAAGAATCAGCAAGATCAGGGTAACAAATAACAAAGTTTCAAATGAATTTGAAAACGTGTGTGTTTGATAGGTCAAGGTCACATAAGAGCTTGCTAATAACACGTTGGCAGAATGACCTTGAAGTCCAATGACCTTGCAAATCTTATATACGCAGATATCAATCCATAGGCTCAAAACTGCCATAAGCAGACGGTAGCTTGTTACAAGATGACATCCTGTCATGGAGAAGCTTGATCTTTCATCAGCATACTTTAGAAGCTTGAACATTGGATGGAACAAAATCTGAGGTAGCACGGCACTTCGTAGGGGGTATGCAGATGTAAATTCCCAGGTTTGTACAACACTTATATTTAATGCATCCCCTGAAACGAACAAATTTTATTCTGTATTTAATAAAGAAGTAAATTTGTAGCTTAGCTAGGTGAGATTTCATCTTCCTTGGAGGTCAACATTATTCATAGGCAAGGGAATTAACATGAATGACCATAGCCTTGTAAAGAAATTTATTTTTTATATCAAGTGTGTTAAATTGATAAATGTTGACATGAAACATAATTTAACAGTATAGTGTCATAAAAAGTAATACCAGTACAATACAGTACACAAGAGCTGTCACAGCAGACAGCAAAGCTGGACTAATAAAATACTGGACGCAGTAAGGAAGACAAAGCTATGAAAGAAAAATCAATTATTTATAATTATGTATTAAGTTATAGTAAAAAAATAACATTTGTTAACATAAATTCCAAGTTCAAGGGGGAATAATTCTTGAAATAGTCAAGCTAGAGTTATGATCCTTGTCACACAACATGTGTGCAATGTTTTAAGTTTCAAGTAGATACCTTAAAAAGTAAAGAAGTTATAATATTTCTTAAAGAAAATCCCAAGTTCAAAGGGAGATTAATCTGAAAATAGTGCTTCAAGAGTTATGAACCTTGTCAAATAATATGTAATTGATGATAAGGAGTAAATATTTGAAGTTTGAGGTAGATACCTTTAAAACTAAAGAAGTTATAGTTAAAAATAACATTTTTCAAGTAAAATAATCCAAGTTTATGGGTAGATAATTCTAGCAACATTGGTACTAGACTTATGAACTTTGTCACATAACATGTGGTTAATGATAAGGAACATATATTTGAAGTATGAAGTGATCCCTTAAAAAATAAAGAAGTAACGGTAAAAAATATTTTTTTAAGGAAATTTCTAATTTCAAAGGGAGATAAATCTGAAAATATTGGTGCTATGAAGTTATGAACCTTGACACATAACATGAACATAGTTTTGAAGTTTGAAGTTGATACCTTAAGAAATGAAAAAGTACAGTGTGTGAAAAATACTTTACTGCACCAAAACTTTTATCTGAAATCTGGACGCGGACACCAGGGTGAGTAGGACAGCTCTCAATATACTTTGTATAGTCGAGCTATAAATGAATAACTCTATACCCATGTGTACTTATTGAACTTTTGTCAGAAAATTTAGAAAAAAACAAAACTGTAAAGAATAATTTGTGTAACGTTTTTCAATGCTCAATAATAAAACAAATTAGGTATTTACTGTATTACCACATATTCCACAATATTCATGATATCAACATTAGCTAGATAATTTTGAAACATTGTACTTAAAAAGACATAGTGTGCAGTTTAGAATTTATAGAATGGGTCAAGTCTCTCAGTAAAGATGTTTAATCTTGGGCTAGACTGTACAGTAAGAGGAAGGCTACTCCAAAGACTTCTGCTCCTAGGACATGTAGGAAAGAAAGAATTTTGGTGGTATTGTGTCCTCGAGTAGGGCATCAGGTAGTTCAGATTTCTTGTTTGAGTAAGGTGTTGGTGGTCAACACAAGAGCGATCAGTAATCACATGTGTCGCCTCATGATGGCCAATTTCATGTTGGGACAAATTTTGTGACAGACGGACAGACAGACGGACAGTGCACAACTAGACTAACAACTTTGTACTGATCATCCCTGTAAAGTTTGGATAAAATTGCACCAGTAGTTTATGAGGAGTAGTCCGGACAAGCTTTTGCGTATCTGGCAACACACAGAAAAAAACACCTTTTTATCAAAGGGCCATAACTCAGCCAAAAATCATTCAACCGGAAAACCCGTGCAATATGCACAAGGACTTGAGCTACAGATCAATCCTGTAAAGTTTCATTGAAATTACATAAGTGGTATAAGAGAAGTAGTCTGGACAAACTTTAAAAATAAAAATTATTAAAGGGCCATAACTCAAACAAAAATCATTGAACCGGAAAATGCTGACAATATGCACAACTAGACTTGGTACTGATCATTCCTGTAAAGTTTGGATGAAATTGCACCAGTAGTTTATGAGGAGTAGTCCGGACAAGCTTTTGTGTATCTGGCAACACACAGAAAAAGAAACCTTTTTATCAAAGGGCCATAACTCGGCCAAAAATCATTCAACCGGAAAACCCGTGCAATATGCGCAAGGACTTGAGCTACAGATCAATCCTGTAAAGTTTCATTGAAATTGCATTAGTGGTATAAGAGAAGTAGTCCGGACAAACTTTAAAATTAAAATTTATTAAAGGGCCATAACTCTGACAAAAATCATTGAACCGGAAAATCCTGACAATATGCACAACTAGACTTGGTACTGATCATTCCTGTAAAGTTTGGATGAAATTGCACCAGTAGTTTATGAGGAGTAGTCCGGACAAGTTTTGTGACGGACGGACGGACAGACGGACAGACAGACAGACAGACAGACAGACGGACAGACGGACAGACGGACAGACAGACGACGGAGAAGTGATCCCTATATGTCGCCACTACTCCGTAGAGGCGACACAAAAAACAATGTTGTTTTGGATTTTACAGAAGTAGGTTACAGCACTGATGTTTTGACGCTGTTCAAGAGTTTGCTAATTAAGATCATTTATCATTTTTGAGACACTACTTGTATAGTCATAATCATTAAAAATATATCTAGCAGCTGATCTTTGAACTTGCTCTATCTTATAAACTAGGTACATTGTATTTCTACCAAGGATGCCAAACTATGGAGCAATATTCAACCTGAGGTCTAACAAAAGTCTCGTATGCAGTTTCCTTTAGTTCATCTTTTTATTTGGGGTTTTTAACATTTCTTCTAATGAATCTAACTTAAAGGGAGTTATTTGCTTTAGATGTAATATTGTTAATATGTTTGGTCCATGAAAGGTCTTGACTACTGTAAATCACTTTATATTCGCGTGATCTTTATTTCGCGAAAACCCCATTCCCGGATTATTTCGCGTATTCATGAATTCGCGATTGCAGGGTTAGAAATTTATATTCGCGATTGTTTAAATTTAATTTCCGCAATATATCAGGGTAGGTTGAAGTTAATTTCTATAATGTGCCGCTCTTATTCAAGGTTAATGTTAATGGTGTTAATAAGAGACGGTATCTATCTATTTATTTTTTTTAATACAAAATGTACCTACATACATTGACTTATTATGAACGTTTTTTTAAAAAATCATTTGTCACATTTGGATTTTGTTTGCAAATGAAGTGGTTAAATGTTTGTAAGAAGATGTAATCTATTATTTATAATACTTAATTTACCGTATGATAATTGTCAGTTGATCACTGTTTTACCCTAAATCTATTGTCATCTAAACAATATGTGTTCACATTTGTCTGTAAAGTGCAAAGTTTGTGGATATTGTCGGAAAATAATGTTAGCTTTTTGTGTTTGATATGATGAATTCATGAGGAAAAAGGAATGGGAAAAATCTTTAACCTTCATATCTTTATTATGATGTAAATAAAACATTGCGCATATTAATTATTTTGTATTCAGTTATTGTATTCATTATAAAACTTAAAAAAAATGTCATCTGATTTATTTTTTTACAATGTATGTTATGTTAAAAAATTTACGCGGCATCATGAATTCGCGACGCAGCCGATTCGCGAATAATAGCGAAAATTAAAACATCGCGAAAAATACCGGATTTACAGTAATAGTGACTCTTAAGTATTTTGCTTCTCTAGCTGAGTTTAGTTGAATGTTATGGAGGGTTTAAGGAAACATTACAGGGTTTCTTTTTCTTGTTATCCTGAGAACTTCACATTTATCAGGGTTGAACTTCATGGACCAGTCTTTTTCCCATATTTCTAAAGCATGAAGGTCATCTTGAAGGGTTTGGGCATCTTGTTCAGATCTGATGGTTAGGTAGACAACAGTATCATCTGCAAAGAGTCTAACCTTACCTTTGACACTATCTGGAAGGTTGTTGTCTCGTTGATATAAGAAAGGAAAAGGCAGGGACCTAATACCTAGCCTTGGGGGACACCTGAGAGGACTGGTAGATTCCTGATTTTTGACCTTCAACTACAACTTGCTGGGAGCGTGACTTTAAGGAAGGAATGGACCAAATTTGTAACATTGTGACTTATTCCCAATCTTTCCAATTTACTCCCAAGTTTGTGATGGTCCAACTTATCAAATGCCTTACTGAAATCCATGACTATGACATCAGTTTGTTGGCCACTTTCAAGATTGTCATGAATTTCCTGGAAGAAGCTTACTCACAACTCGGTTTTGACCTGAAACCATGTTGATAGGGGCTAAGGATGTTGTGCTTATCATAAAAGGACATAATATTGGACACTAAGATGTGCTCCATCAATTTGGACACAATGCATGTGAGGGATATTGGTCTATACTTGCTGTGTTTGCATTTTGGGCCTTTTTTGTAAACTAGGGCAATTATTGCATGCTTCCAGTCTTCTGGGACAATATCTGTTTTTAGTCAGATCTGGAAGATGTACGTCAGTATGGGAGTAACCTCTAGATGGAGCTCTTTTAGATACCTAGGGGAAATTTGGTCAGGACAAATATAGACAAAACTATTTGTATATATTTATTTCCTTATAAAAAGTAAATACCTAATAAATTCTTTATTTTTTAAATTATTGCACTACAGCCTTTGTATCTTTTAAGTTTTGAGCTATATACATATGAGGAAAACCTGTGATCCTGGGTCAATTTTTTTGACAAAAGGAGCAAAATTTTTAAGTCTTTGGAAGCGGACCTATAGATGATATTAAATACCAAATGGTCCAATAAAAGATGCCTTATGCAAAATATCTAAGCTCTAGGCTTTGTGGGTCTTTAGAAGACTTTTTTAAAATCTTTTCTTATAATTTCTTTTGGTTGTCATGGCAACCTTATGGCAACTAGATTCTGCATGGAATCAAGTTCTTTGAACAACTTTTGAAGACTTAACAAGAAATCTTAAAGGCACAAAAATAATTCTAGGAGACTTTAACTTTCCAAAACTTACATGGGACTCAGAACATAATTATTCTTACAAATCTGGCTTTAACTCAAACCCCACTTATGATAAATTCCTTGAAGTCATCGAAAATCATAGCCTTACTCAAATGATAAATGAAAACACAAGACACAACAATATCTTAGATCTCTTTTTAATTTCAAACCACACACTTGTCAACAAAACAGAAATAATCCCAGGAATATCAGATCATGACATCATCACAACAAGTGTACACGCAAGACCAATTATAAACAAACAAAAACCAAGAAACTGCCCAATCTACAAAAAAGCCAACTGGCCTGAATTTAAAAATCATATGCAGATATTAAGCCAAGAAATCATACATAAAGTTGATACACTTTCAGTTGAAGAACTATGGACCCAATTTAAATCAACAATTGAAACTGGAATTACTAAATTTGTTCCAATAAAAAGAATAGGATCAAAAAAATCACTACCCTGGATAACAAAAGCAATTAAAAAACTCATGACAAAAAGAGACCATCTATACCAAAAATTAAAAAAACATAAATCAAATCATGAACTTAGACAAAAATTCAAAAAATTGAAAGCACTTATCAAAACTCATATCAAAACATCTTTTGATCAACACTTAGAACACATATTAGAACTTGATGACAATGATCCCACAGACACCCAAACTAAGTTTTCTACTAAAAAACTGTACTCCCACTTAAAAAACTCCAAACAAGATTCCCAAAATGTAACAACTCTCAAAGACCAAACAACAGGCTATCTTAAATCAAACAACCGCGACAAGGCCAATATATTGAACACGCAGTTCCAATCAGTTTTCTCCAGTGCCTCTCCACTGTCTCTAAAACAAACTTGCATGCAAAAACTTTATTACCTTGACCCCAAAAAATATTGTAAATACCCTCAAATGGATGATATATCTGTCAGCAAAAATGGGGTGCTGAAACTTCTTGCCAACCTAAAGATAGATAAAGCTGCAGGCCCAGACCTTGTTCGGCCGGTTGTCCTCAAAGAACTGAGGAATGAAATCACAGATATTATCACAATCCTATTCCAAAAATCTTTATCTTCTGATACAATTCCCTCTGACTGGACCAAAGCCTACGTTTGCCCTATTTACAAAAAAGGTGACAGCACAGATCCAGCCAACTATCGACCGATTTCATTAACATGTATCCTTTGCAAAACGCTTGAACACATTGTCGCCTCACATCTCTCTTCACACTTCAGTAACCACAACATTCTCTTCGACCTTCAACATGGCTTTAGGGAGAAACGCTCCTGTGAAACACAGCTTATTGAACTAACAGACTCCCTTGTCAACAACATCTCAGCAGGGAAACAAACAGATCTTATTCTCCTTGACTTTAGTAAAGCCTTTGATAAAGTAAATCATCGTAAACTTCTCCTTACCCTTCAAGAAAACGGTGTCTCCACACAAATTCTCAATTGGACACGTTCCTTCCTGATAGGCCGAAGCCAAACTGTTGTACTGGAAGATGAACACTCTACAGAAGTCCCTGTAAACTCTGGTGTCCCCCAAGGCTCCGTCCTCGGCCCACTCTGCTTTCTGATCTACATTAATGAACTTCCATCTTCTGTCTCCAAGTCTCAAATTCGCCTCTTTGCTGATGACACTGTGGTTTACATTACTATAAACTCGTCCTCAGACTCACAATCCCTCCAGGAGGATCTTGATAAGATGCAAATATGGGAAAGGGAGTGGGACATGGAATTCAACCCCTCAAAATGTCAAGTCCTTCACATCACTAAAAACAAAAAAGTCATCAACAACAAGTACTTCCTTCATGGCCAAGCTTTAACAACAGTTCCTAGCTCAAAATACTTTGGCCTTGACTTGTCCACAGACCTAAACTATAACACACATATCTCAAGAATTACATTAAATGCAAACAAAACCCTAGGATTCATAAAACGAAATATCAATACAAAAAATGAAAAAGTAAAACAACTAGCTTATAAATCCCTAGTAAGACCCAGTTAGAATACGCATCAACTGTTTGGAGCCCCTACACACAATCAAACATCAAAAAAATAGAGATGGTCCAAAGACGAGCAATACGCTGGGTAAAACATGACTACTCCCCCTTGTCATCAGTTACAGCCATGCAGAAAGATCTTGGCTGGCGTTCTCTCGAGCATCGCAGACTAGACTTTGGACTTATTATGTTTTTTTAAAATTTACCATAATCTAGTAGCCATTAATAATTAGCCTTCCCACCTACATTAAAACTCCATCTAGGCTTACTAGACATATGCATCCCCTCTCTCTTAGGAAAATAAAGGTTACATCAGACTACCATTTGCTCTCGTTTTTCCCCCACTGTATCACACTTTGGAACCAGCTCGCAAGGAACATTGTCACCCTGCCTGATCTAGATCAATACAAACAGGCAGTGGTTAAGATACAGTATTAGTTGACTTGTTGTGTTTTTACTTTTAAATCTTTCTTTCACCCTTACTAACAAAAATATTTTAACAATGACTAGAAGTTTTCAATGTCTCTCACTGTCCTGATCATGTTCATTTTTTAGGTTTTTACTTTCTCTCACACCTTTTACTAACACACCGACGCGCACAATTTCCTGCCTATAACACTCGCGAGAGGGGTTGGCAGTATTCAGAGATAGATAGATAGAACAACTCTGCCAAGTTTGATTGAATTTGGACTAGCCATTTTTAGAGAAAGATTTTTTAAGTTCACTATAGAACACAAAAACACACATACAGGTGAATAGCTATATTCCATCGCATCGCAGATGCTGCGGTGGCATAAAAATATAAGATGATCAACAATGTCAGTTTAAAACTAAAATTTACCAGCAACAACTTCTACAGTCTGGAAGAATTCATCTGGGTGTATATATCCACTTTGTGGCAGCACAGCCCAACCCAACCTGAATACCAACAGAAACAGCAACACATATGACATTGTTAACCAATATTCCACTTCAAATCTGTAATAAGAAAAACAAAATCATAACTTTAAGAAAACTTTATATATAACTTTTGTATAGGGCCACAAAGTGATGTTACATGCGCAAATTATTTTAGAGCTCTGGGCATTGTAGTTTCTCAGGATAAGTTTTTTAAGATATTTTCACTATACAAGTTAATGTTTCTGTAAATGAAGTGACCCTGGGGCAGAACAAATTTTAATTCCAGGGCCATGATTTATGTAACTTTTGTAGAGGTCGACTTGGCAATGCTACATGCTTATTATCTAAGCTCTGGGCATTGCAGTTTCTTAATAGTATTTTTCTTTATACATGTAAGCCTATGTTAGCTAAGTGACACATAAGGTCGGGCCATTTTTTGACCATACTAGGGTCATGATTAATGTAACTAATATAACTAAAGGACCACAAAGTGATGCTATGTGCCAAATATCTAAGCTCTAAGTATTGTAGATTCTTGGTAGAAGATTTTTAAAGATTTGATAAAGTATTTTTAGTCCCTGTGATCTACTTATGCATCAATGCATCATATTAGAATTATTTATACATTAGTTTTGTTGAGGACCACCTTATGATCATTCTTGCGAAGTTTGGTCAAAATCCAACATTGATGGATGACTAAGGACAACAAGTGATGAACACACTGTCATCACTTAAGCTCACCTCTGAGCACTTAAACCATCATAACTTTGTCAAAATTAATGTCCGATTTATGGGCCTTGGATAGTGTCCTCCTAATTTGATCTAAAGACATTTATCAAGTTTAAAGTGAACATCATCAGTAGTTTCAAAGATTAATGGTTCAACCGTTCATGTAAAACTCTAACTGGGAATTGTCAAAGTTTAAAAAATTTATATATATGTAGTGTAATGTGTGCATGACTTAGTAACAACTGGCAATGACATGGAAATATTTGCAATTCTATGTGTACTAAAACAATTATTATGTCATTATAAGAAAGTTACATGAAGCCATTATGATTATTAAAGTGGGATGCATCGTCAGTGAACTTGGGCAAATCATATTGATAACTTTTCTGTTAAAATGACCAATTCATTATTAGTGTTCTTCAAAAAAGACTAATTTATTTCACAAATACACACATATATTTAATCAAATCATTTTATAATTCTAACAAGAGCTGTCGGTATGATAGCAGCGCTCGACTATTCTTAGTGCTTGATAGTAAAAGAGCCTTGATAATGTAAAATTTTCTGAGTTAATAACAAAAGGACAAAATTTTTCTTTAAATCCATGTTACAGTTATAGGCCTTGGAGAGAGTCCTATTATGCTCTCAAAGAAGAGTATAAAATTTCAACTTGTTTCAATAGAATATGAAAATATCTGAGGTGGTATGCAAACCTAAATGTAAATTCTAAGTTGAAAAAGGGGCATAATTCTGTCAAAATGCTTGATACAGTTACCTCCTCCTGTCTACAGGTTGGGGTCATGATGGTGAACAAGTGTGCAAAGTTTCAAAGCCATATGTCAATGGACTTTGAAAATATTTGAGGTATTACAAAAACTTTAACGTAAATTCTAAGTTGAAAAAGGGGCATAATTCTGTTAAAATGCTTGATACAGTTACCTCCTCCTGTCTACAGGTTGGGGTCATGATGGTGAACAAGTGTGCAAAGTTTCAAAGCCATATGTCTATGGACTTTGAAAATATTTGAAGTATTACAAAAACTTTAACATAAGTGGTTACGCCGACGCTCGGGTGACTGCAATAGCTCTACTTATTCTTATCGAATAGTCAAGCTAAAAACTTAAGTGAAAGCACATTTTCAATTATTATTTTGAAGCAAGGCGATTTCTTACTCATCTTGGGTGAATCATCACTAAAGTGTCAGGTGAATCGTCAGTGGGGGTGAAGCGTTATTAATTCGCAAGTGTCTGGGAGGTGAAGTATCTTGTTCCCCCTTGTAATTGTATGGGAAACTTTGTAATGCTTTAAATCCCTTAATACTTAAAAAGATAGACACGTGAATTAAAAAAAAAACAACAAAAAAAACAGGGAAGAGAACCTTCTGCATATTTGAAGTTAGTTAGTCCAACTAATTGTACTGCGCGACGAGATATTGTGCTATTTTCATGTCTGGGCAATAACTGGCCTCTAAAAGCAAGATTCTGCCCCAGAACGAAAATATCTCAGAATCAAGCTTTGGCACGTCAATATATTTTGACTAGAAGATAGTCAGAAAACTTTCAGGGAGGAAACGTTTTGGGAAAAGAAACCGTGTCTGAAATTCTTTATACATTTACGCTGTGCAAAACGTTTTGATTAAATATGCAAAGGCTGCAAATTTTCAACAACACATGATTAAGAATTTAAGACGTGTTCATTTAGTGACTATTTACGTCACTACGTGGGACGAATCGCCGCTTGGAGCGAATATCCCGAAACAACCAATTTTCAATCACAACCTAAATTCAAACACATTCTTAATTCTGTGGCACTGATGTCATGCCTGACTAAATTGCATAAAGTCACATGTTGTATTAACTTCAAAACTTGCAGAAATGCCACATTTGATTAATTGTCAGATGTTTTCAGAAAAACAATAAGAAACTGTTTGTTTTAAGTGACACAATATAAATTGTCCAACTTTCACTATATCAAAATAGTCACTTGTTTAAAATAGTGGTAAAAATTTTCCTAAGCAAGTTATTTTTTTATAAAGTATTGGCTAAAGAGTTTTACCATTTACCTTAGTTCTAGGTGTATTTAAAATATTTATTTATACGATGTACCACTAAATATTCACCAGACTTTACATGGGGGTCCTTATTAATAAAATCTTATATTGTTATCAAATTTTTTCATGTGATGATTGTAGAATAATTGTTTTGTAAGCGATACCAGCTGGCAGATCTAGACAAGTTTCCATATTTGCTAATATTATAAAGTGGGGAAGGTAAAATGGCCGTAAAGATTGGATGCATTTATCATTTTGCGCCCCAAATAGTGTACTAAGAAGTGACACCTTTAACTGCCTTTTTATACACATTAACAGTAGTCATACCAATGCATTGTGCTGTACATATGTTATAACATTTAGTGTAAGTTTTTTAAAGTCTTGAAAAAAACTGTTGAAAATCGTTGAATAGACTATATTGTGAAATTTTCTACAATTTTTAGTGGCCCTGATTTATCTTTAACAAATTTTCCATGGTGATTACCCTGCTGTTTGAATTTAGGTTAAAATATTCCTGGGAGTGACCCGAGTGGGTCATATTGTTTTTATTGAATTTCTAAGAAAGATCAAGACTTGTTGAAAATGTACCAACCTGAAAATGAATAAGTATTAATAGATGCATTAATAGCTAAAATAAATTTAAAGTATAATTTCCCCTTCCATTTATTATTGGCTAAAAACAGCTTAACTGATTGAATATTGGTTGTCCCGGGATAATACAGGTGCGAATCATGAGTGGGCGAATCGTTAATCGACCATCTATTAAAATAAATATTGGTTAAAATAAGCAAGACTAACTATAAGGACTTACATGCAAATTCTCGCGATACATAAAACAAATGCAACAGAATCATCAATAAATAGCAGACCATTAGAATGTTCAATTTTTGCACCGGTTGATCGATCAGAGTGAAGACGCGCTTGCTTAAAAGCAGCTGTTCGATACAGATCAGTCCGAAGAAACGAAAGTGACTGAGGTTCAATTATTACATTTTCTGAGAGAAATGTCACTTTTAAAACCAACTGCTGGGTCGGCAGACATAAGTTCATATAGAGATCAGCATTTTAAGGTAACCTTGAATTAATATTTATTTTAATGTAAAAGTTCTTGGAATATAACAAGTGTCATATATGTCGGACAGAACATGTGGGCAAAAATTATTAAGTTCGTCCCAAGACCTGTGCGTCGATTTGATGTTGGGTCAACTCTACCCTTAGTCAATTCATTCCGTGGTCAGCTCATCACATTGTCAACTTGTCTGTAAACTTGTCACCATTTTTTTATGTCAACTTGTCACCATTTTTTTTTTAAATCAGACTGATTATTTAAGAAATATTATATATATCCAGGGTTTTACGTGACGCAGAATTCTGCGTCCCTATACAAATAAATTTTGACATGTACGCATATAAGTTATCAACTTCGTCCAAGTGTATATATGCACAAAAATAATCCTAGACAATAGATATTATTGTTTCTGACCAATATGATTTTATCTCTTTCTTCTCGAAGCTCGCAAAATTCCAATTAAAATATCTTACAGCGAGCACAAAATACTCGCATTTGTTCATTTTTGAAGTTAACATAATTGAAAGCTACTGCACATGCTATTGGTAAGTGCCCGCTGCAGAAACATATTACCGTTTACTGTGCAAGCTACAGTAACTGATGACGTTTACCGTAAAATCTATTTTAGGTAGCTGTTTTTGGTTTTTCTGTAGCTATATTTAGAAAGACTATTTATAACAGGCAATTACTATTGGTTAGCCTATCCAACAATGTCAATCTACCCGTTTGGCGAATACATTTTGTATAATAAAAAAAGATGTGGTTTTTGCAAACTTATTTTTATAGTGTTACAGAAATTAAGTCACTGGGTATGTCAATTATCGTTGGTGTAATAAATATAATGGTGTCAGCAGTGAAAACAGTGCAATATATATGCATATTTTTTAAAGGGTAAATAAATGATTTTGAGCAAAATTTAGTGGTCTTCATAGTCTTTTTCAGTGAATATAATTTTGGACCCCTAAAATTTAGGCCTGCATGGACCCCTACTTTTCTAGGCTGTGCATCCACTGGACCCCTAAAATATCAGAGAGATGTAAAACCCTGTATATCCCAAACAGTGATTTTATGGCTAAATAGAATCACTATCTGGAGTTCAGATGGGAGGGCCTTTTTTCCTTCTATAACAGGGTATAGGGCTGCTTCCCCAAAGACAATTTCTTTAAATCATGCAGTTTTCCCCAAAAATTTAATTTACATCAAGTTTTTACTTCCCCTTTTGCAAATATACCGTGTAATTTTTTTCCAAAAAATTAAGGGCTGCTGCCCCAACCTGTGAAAAAACCTGTGGGTTCGAATCCTGACAGGGACGGATTCTTTCATGTGAGGAAGCTATCCAGCTAGTTTAAGGAACGTAGGTGGTTCTTCTCAGGTGCCTGTTTGTGCCTGAAATAATGCACGGAAGGCACCTGAGGTCTTCACCAGTAAAGCTGGAATGTCGCGATATGACCTACACTGTGTCGATGTGACGTTAAACCCAAAACAAACAAACAAACATCACATATTTAACTGTTAAGTCACATGTCTAAATATAGAATGTCAACAGTGATTTTATTGTTTAATAACACACATTTTGGGTCCTTCTCTGTTTAATAGAGAAAATATGCAGGTGGTGTTAGAATAGATGATACATTAAATTTTATTAGTAAAGTGTTAACTGTAATACACATGTATTATTTTTCAGGGAAGTAGGACAGAGCAGGAAAAATTATTAAAGCAGAGCTGTACTCTGTATATAGGAAACTTGTCATTTTACACAACAGAGGAACAAATACATGAACTTTTTAGCAGATGTGGAGATGTGAAAAGAATAGTCATGGGACTAGATAAAGTGAGGAAAACACCCTGTGGTTTCTGCTTTGTTGAGTATCCTTTTGCAGAAACTTATTGTTCTTTTTACTCCCACTTTAAACCCGGTACCAATATTACAATGTAAGTGTTATTACATAAAATTTAAGAAATGTTATACATAATATATAATTATATATCAAGTCAGGACTGGTCTTTTTTCCAAGAATTTTGAAAGGTAGCCAGATGTTTTTATTTCTAAGAAACAAGGTCCTAAAGTACTGTCAGCAGCCTCATTTTCAGATGTACATGTTACATGTATTTTTGGCTAGATATAAAACTTTCAAGTATAATTGAACTGTGTGGGAACAAGTATAGGTTAGAGTGCATATTGGGTGTTCTTCGTAAATAAGAAAGCTAAAAAGGAGCGGAGCTTGCGAAGCGACTGTAGCTTTCTTATTTACGAAGAACATCCAATATGCACTCTAACCGGCTTAGTGCTCCGCCCATTTTTTTCCGCCCAACACACTGCGTGACGTCACACGATAGCCTAGAAATGTGTATAACCATATTTGGAAGAGGTAGCGGTACACATTTACGGGTCACGTGTTTTGCATAGCTTATTCCCGCATTCTGTCAAGGTAAATCAGACAATATCACGGTGCATATCCATATCGGTACCCTCTTTGCAAAATATTCTCAAACGGTACCCTCTTTGAACATACACAGGTCATTCTCTGCTAAAAACAAACCAGCGATGGATAACAATGCAGTAAAAATTCATTGTAATAAGGAAAGGAGGTATGACACGTAGAAAAGATGTATACCACGGAACACTAGAATGTTTTATTTATGTGCTGATTTGTCATGTCCCCGATTTTCATGAACTGCAACTTCACAATAAGCTACAAAAAGTCGACATGTCTTGCCCGTCACCTCGACATATTTTTCGGGCTGAAATGAACCTGTGGCTTGATTATATATGCATCATACATATTTATTATGTTCATATACATATCATCTTAGGACAAATGGCAGTATATTGTCAAAAATAAATGTAAAATTAATAAAAACACCCTACTTTCGGTTTTGCAGCGGCACGGGCTGTAATATTTACATAAAAAGTAAGAAATATTGCATACATACTTTGTTGGAATAAGTGAACTTTTTATTTGGAAATTATAAAATGATACTGGTTCCGTAATTAATAAATTATTTTTACTGTTATTTTGCCTGTTTTCGTTTCAATGAACCTCTTTTTTTAATTCTATGCCGTAGTGACGATAATCATGTGCGTGTACGGAAAAAACATGATGCATAAATATTGATTAGTAGGAGTAAACTTCAAGATCTCTGCACATGCGTATATTTCACTTTAGCGCTCTTCGAAACTTAGCTCCGCCCACTTGCGTTTTATAATATAAAACGTCCAGTTTATATAAAATCTGTTCTATTAAGATTTGAAACCTGAAAATTTGAAAAATCCTCGTCGGTGATTGGCTTAAAAAAATTGGCGAGCACTAATAATAAATAGGTAACAGGAAATTTCATTTGATGCTGTTTTAATATGGTTTTATGTGACATAAGTGTATTTTGGAAATATTTTTAGTTTTTTTTCTTTACAAAACATTTTGGGTTTGAATTCTGAGTGTAAATCTTGAATGTTTTGGCAACTTACAGAAAGTGAGTGGTGTAACTTGTGAAGAATGGTATGTTAGTTATGTTTTTCCCAGACAGTTGCCTTAATTATGTCCCCATATCATGTTGATAAAAATGATATTTTTATTGCTGCCAAGAATGACTATTAAATTCAGGCCAAAGCTAATAGGGTCAACATTAAATCTTTGAGAAAGAACAAGTGTGATAGGGTCAACATTAAATCTTTGTGAAAGAGCCAGTATGATAGGGTCAACATTAAATCTTTGAGAGAGAGCCAGTATGATAGGGTCAACATTAAATCTTTGAGATAGAGCCAGTATGATAGGGTCAACATTAAATCTTTGAGAAAGAGCCAGTATGATAGGGTCAACATTAAATCTTTGAGAAAGAGCCAGTATGATAGGGTCAACATTAAATCTTTGAGAAAGAGCCAGTATGATAGGGTCAACATTAAATCTTTGAGAAAGAGCCAGTATGATAGGGTCAACATTAAATCTTTGAGAAAGAGCCAGTATGATAGGGTCAACATTAAATCTTTGAGATAGAGCCAGTATGATAGGGTCAACATTAAATCTTTGAGAAAGAACCAGTATGGTAGGGTCAACATTAAATCTTTGAGAAAGAGCCAATATGATAGGGTCAACATTAAATCTTTGAGAAAGAACCAGTATGGTAGGGTCAACATTAAATCTTTGAGAAAGAGCCAATATGATAGGGTCAACATTAAATCTTTGAGAAAGTGCCAGTATGATAGGGTCAACATTAAATCTTTGAGAAAGAGCCAGTATGATAGGGGCAACATTAAATCTTTGCGAAAGAGCAAGTATGATAGGGTCAACATTAAATCTTTGAGAAAGAGCCAGTATGATAGGGTCAACATTAAATCTTTGAGAAAGAGCCAGTATGATAGGGTCAATGTTAAATCTTTGAGAAAGTGCCAGTATGATAGGGTCAACATTAAATCTTTGAGAAAGAACCAGTATGGTAGGGTCAACATTAAATCTTTGAGAAAGAGCCAATATGATAGGGTCAACATTAAATCTTTGAGAAAGAGCCAGTATGATAGGGTCAACATTAAATCTTTGAGAAAGAGCCAGTATGATAGGGTCAACATTAAATCTTTGAGAAAGAGCCAGTATGATAGGGTCAACATTAAATCTTTTAGAAAGTGCCAGAATGATAGGGTCAACATTAAATCTTTGAGAAAGAGCCAGTATGATAGGGTTACATTAAATCTTTGAGAAAGAGCCAGTATGATAGGATCAACATTAAATCTTTGAGAAAGAGCCAGTATGATAGGGTCAACATTAAATCTTTGAGAAAGAGCCAGTATGGTAGGGTCAACATTAAATCTTTGAGAAAGAGCCAGTATGATAGGGTCAACATTAAATCATTGAGAAAAGAGCCAGTATGATAGGGTCAACATTAAATCTTTGAGAAAGAGCCAGTATGATAGGGTCAACATTAAATCTTTGAGAAAGAGCCAGTATGATAGGGGCAACATTTAATCTTTGAGAGAGAGCCAGTATGATAGGGGCAACATTTAATCTTTGAGAAAGAGCCAGTATGATAGAATCAACATTAAATCTTTGAGAAAGAGCCAGTATGATAGGGTCAACATTAAATCTTTGAGAAAGAACCAGTATGGTAGGGTCAACATTAAATCTTTGAGAAAGAGCCAGTATGATAGGGTCAACATTAAATCATTGAGAAAGAGCCAGTATGATAGGGTCAACATTAAATCTTTGAGAAAGAGCCAGTATGATAGGGTCAACATTAAATCTTTGAGAAAGAGCCAGTATGATAGGGTCAACATTAAATCTTTGAGAAAGAGCCAGTATGATAGGGTCAACATTAAATCTTTGAGATAGAGCCAGTATGATAGGGTCAACATTAAATCTTTGAAAAAAGAGCCAGTATGATAGGGTCAACATTAAATCTTTGAGAAAGAGCCAGTATGATAGGATCAACATTAAATCTTTGAGAAAGAGCCAGTATGATAGGGTCAACATTAAATCTTTGAGAAAGAACCAGTATGGTAGGGTCAACATTAAATCTTTGAGAAAGAGCCAGTATGATAGGGTCAACATTAAATCATTGAGAAAGAGCCAGTATGATAGGGTCAACATTAAATCTTTGAGAAAGAGCCAGTATGATAGGGTCAACATTAAATCTTTGAGAAAGAGCCAGTATGATAGGGTCAACATTAAATCTTTGAGAAACTTGAAACTTGAAAACTTGATTTTACGCCTATTTCTACATATGGAATACATATTCAATGGCGTTGTACAGCTATATACCTTATATGTGCTACTCCCAGTGCTACCATACACAATACTCCCAGCAGTGCGAAGGTCACAGTGATTGGGTCAATCCCCACCAACATGTAACAGTCTACACCCCTGCACATGATAACACATGGGCTAGACTTTATTATATTATTGTACAATGAAAATAATAAAAACTGATAGAAATATACAAACATGCACAAAACAATTAGGAACAGACAATGCCTTCAGTGTCACTTAAAAAAGTGCCAAAAAAGTCCTTGAAGTAAAATGATTTCAGTTGTCTTTTTGAAAAAAAATTTCAACAGATTCACATTTTCTCATATTAATAGGTAGTTCATTTCCACAATTTTTGTCCTATCGTGCTAAAAAGCTCTGTCAGAAAAAGTCCTCTTCTTATTAAAAGGAACAACATAACAACCAACAGAGGATTCATATGATCTTAAGGTTCGTTTTGACACTTGATGAGACAAAAGCTCTATTAAATATGATGGTGCGTTTCCTACCGAACAGTTATACATGTATGTCAGTATCTTGAAACTGATTCGTGCTTTAATTGGAAGCCAGTGCAGATCGAATAATGCCTGTTTAGAACTATCATACTTGGAACGACCTAACACCAGTTTGGCACACATATTTTGAATACGTTGAAGTTTGGCTACTTCATTTTGAGATATGCCGTATAGGATGATGTTGCAATAATCTAAATGGGATATTACTAATGATAAAACAAGTGTTTCAGCGGCTCCCTTTGTCAGATACTTTCGAATGCTCTTGATCTTGAAATAGTTTAACATAGCAGTTCTACACTTTCTTTTAATGTGATATTTGAAATTTTGAGACTCATCCAAAAAAGCACCAAGATACCTTGAGAAAGAGCCAGTATGATAGGGTCAACATTAAATCTTTGAGAAAGAGCCAGTATGATAGGGTCAACATTAAATCTTTGAGATAGAGAGCCAGTATAATAGGGTCAACATTAAATCTTTGAGAAAGAACCAGTATGATAGGGTCAACATTAAATCTTTGAGAAAGAGCCAGTATAATAGGGTCAACATTAAATCTTTGAGAAAGAGCCAGTATGATAGGGTCAACATTAAATCATTGAGAAAGAGCCAGTATGATAGGGTC